TCGTCCGTCTGTAAACTTTTCTTATTTTCAACTTCTTCTCAAGGACCACTGGGCCAATTTTAACCAAAGTTGGTACGAAGCATTCTTGGGTGAATGGGAGTTTAAATTATTAAAATGAGGGGTCAAGCCTCCTTACAAGGGAAGATAATCAAGAAAAGACAAAAATAGGGTGGAGTCATTAAAAAATCTTCTCTAGAACCACTGGGCTAGAAAATCTGAAACTTACGTGGAAGCCTCCTGAGGTAGTGTACATTCTAAATTGTTCAAGTCATGAACCCCGGGGGTAGTGTGGGGCCAAAATTGGGACACAATTTTTTACATTGAACCACTGGGCCAGAAAAGCTGAAACTTGTGTGGAAGCTTTCTGAGGTAGAGTAGATTCAAATCATGACCCTGAGGTAGGGTGGGGCCTCAATTAGTGTTACAAGGGGGAAATCTGGTGAAGAACAGCAGGGAAAAAGTTACTCTGGCGAGCGTTGTGGCCCATGGGCCTCTTTTTTTTTTTATCCATTTCATTGCACATTGTAGCAGTTTTCTTTGAAAATTATTCCGAATGTAGTATTCCAATGAATAATGGAGGAATTTTTCATCCAACCCAAAATACTTATACCAATAAATCTATTTACTCAAAAATACTTTTTGAAGAAGGTATTGTCAGTGTTCATGATTTTATGAAACATGGTTATTTTTTGGCATTAAAAAGTTCTTATGCGACAATGTTGATTACTTGCACGCTTTTAACAAAAATGCTTTTAATATGTATTATTATTGTAATCATTATAATGAATACTTGTTATAATCTTTCTAAACTGACAACTTAGGGATTAGGGAAGTATTCACATCTAAAGATCTATTTTTATATAGTGAAAAATCAGTAGAAGTGTAATAACATATAAGACCCAGGCACCAGATCTAACCTCACAGCATACTCCGTTTTCCAGATGACAACACGTGTTAGGCCTACCGTTCCCAGTAATGCAAGAACACGTACTTTTTAAAAATCATACTGGTGCCGACTATGTCGCATGTTACATATAAATTGTGAGTTTACCTTTTAGGACAGGACGAGTACTTCTGATTTTAAACTAACCAGCTATATATTCGGCCGTAAAGTCTACGTTTACGCCTACGTCTACAACACAATTTCCGGTTCTTCGGATGAGACCGTATAAACCGAGGTCCCCTGTCGCAGTAGGTATTGGCACGAAAAAGATCCCTCACTGCTCAATGGCCCTGAGTGCCAAGTATAGGTCAAAAATTTGCAGCTCTCCACCGGCAAGTGGTGGCGTCTCCATATGAGTGAAAAATTCTCGAGAGGGACGTTAAACAACAAACAAACAACACAATGTACGATCTTTTGAAAATTCATATCTTCGCTGTCGTAAACTACTGTATACATAAATGAAATAAGAAATAAATGTAATAAACATTTAAAAAAACAAACAAACAAATGCGAAATTTTCTCTGTTATACATGGAAGTTAAAATTACAGTCATTTGATTACGTGTCAAAATGACGTATTCTAATTAGCCAATTTTCAGGAGCTTAGAGGGTTCCCCTCCCAATTAAACGGACACTGGCCTGTTGTGGACCCCTGCGGTACCCAGACCCCTTGCCATGTAATAACCCCTTTTTTTCTAATGCAAAATCCTGATCCGCACCTATATCTTACCACTCAGTCTCTTATAGTTTGACATCCTTTAGTGACGAAATCATACGATCTGTATCATGTTTACATCGATTTTTAATTCAAATGCTGTGCAAAAACGAAAGATGTACAAGAATTTCATAAATATGTATTACACTTTGTTTGTGCACTGATATATTACAGTTGTTCAGGTGTAACTGAAATGGGTGCCACAGAGTTTTTTTATGCAGTGTCACGGATGCAATGGTGGCAGCTTTCTGCACCACCTATCGAGATGAAATTTTACTAACGAACATAACTGAAAAAAGTTGTCTATGCGCTATCATACAGATACTTTTGAGTTACAATCTGTACAAGGCCCCTATCAACAATACGTTTCCGAAATAAACATGGGACCAATGGGCCATAACGCTCACGTGAGTCACTTTGGCTTGCTGTTCTGCATCAGCTATTTTCCCCAATATACAATTATTCCTATGTAAAATTTTGATTCTCTTATGTTGCCCCACCGTATCTACTGGGACCAAGGTTTGAACAAAAATGAATCTACACAACCAGAGGATGCTTCCACTTTAACATAATTAATAATAGCTTTGCTTTTCTTAAGAGAAGTTTTACAGATTTTTTCCTATGTAATCCTTAGTGTTGCCCCGTCATACTCCAGAGTACCATGATCTGAACAATTAAGAATCTAAACTACCTCAAGAAGTTTTCACATAACTTTCGCATTTCTAGTCCAGCAGTTCCTGAGAAGATATTTAAAGGTTTTATCTATATATTTCAATATAAAACTTTGATTCTCTATTGTGGCTCCACCCTACCCCCCTGGGACCATGATTTGAACAATTAACAATGAATTCTACCTCGGGAAGCTTTCACTTATATTTCATCTTCCTGGTGCAGAAGTAATTGATAAGATTTTTCAAAAATATATTTCAATGCAAAAATTTGATCCCCTACTGTGAAAAATTAAGAATCTACACTACTTTAGGAAGCTTCCATGCAAGTTTCAGCTTTTCTGACCCAGTGGTTCTTGAAAAGAACACTTCTAAAGATGTTTCCAATATATTTCAATGTTAAACTTTGATTCCCTATTGTGACCCCACCCTACCCCCGGGAACAAGTTTTGAACAATTTATAATCTCCATTACCTCAGGAAGCTTTCACATAAGTCATATAAGTTTCATTTTTTTTTTACCCATTGGTTCTTGAAAAGAAGATTTAAAACAAAATGTGTTTGTGAAAAACTGATGCCCCCGTATGGCAACTTATAGCAAAGGTTAAACTTTCTCAAATGCAAATCAAATATGTTAGTACCCAAAGTAAGGTCTTGTCTCGGGGAATATACCTGTGAAATAATAAAGCACTAGCAGCAACCATTGAATAGATATGAAAAAGGTTAAAGTTTTTCAAAAGTGAGTCAAACATCAAGGTCAAGGTCAAAAGGTTAAAATTAATGGTGCCTAAGGAAAGGCCTTCTCACAAGAAATATACAGGTGAAATATGAAAGCTGAAGAACCAATCGTTCAAAAGTAATGACCAAGGTTCAAGTTTTTCAAAAGTACGTCAAACTCCAAGGTCAAGGTCAATGGATTACAATTGTTGGTATCCAAAGGAAGGTCTTGTCACTAGGAAAAACATGTTAAATATGAAAGCCCTAGCAACAACTTTTCAAACGTTGTGTCCAAGGTTAAAGTTTTCCAAAAGTAGGTCAAACTCCAAGGTCTGGGTCAAAGGGTCAAGTTGGTGGTATCCAAAGAAAGGTCTTGTCAAAAGGATTACATATGTGAAGTATGAAAGCACTAGCACCAGCCATTCAAAAGTTATGTCCAATGTTAAAGTTTTTCGAAAATAGCTCAAACACCAAGGTCAAAGGGTCAAAGTTGTTGGTATCCAACCTTGTCAAAGGATTACATATGTGAAATATGAAAGCCCTAGCACCAACCGTTAAAAAGTTATGGCCAATGTAAAAGTTTTTCAAAAATAGGTCAAACGTCAAGGTCAAAGGGTCAGAGTTGTTGCTATCCAAAGGAAGGTCTTGTTACATGGGTTACATATGTGAAGTATGAAAGCCCTAGCACCAGCAGTTCAAAAGTTATAGCCAATGCTAAAGTTTTTTTTAAGTAGGTCAAACTCCAAGGTCAAGGTCAAAGGTCAAAGTTGTTGGTATCCGAAGAAAGGCCTTGTCACAAGGATTACACATGTGAAATATGAAAGCCCTAGCACCAATTGTTCAAACGTTATGGCCAAGGTTGAAATTGGGAAAAATTTTGCAAAACTGGGTCAAACTCGAAGGTCAACGTCAAACATGGTGGTACCCAAAGAAAGGTCTTGTCACAAGGAATACACATGTGAAATATGGAAGCCATAGCTCTAACCAATCAAAAGTTATGGGCAATGTTAAAGTTTTTGCGGACAAACAGACAGACAGACGGACGGACAGGGCAAAAACTATATACCCCTGAATCTTCGATACGGGGGCATAAAAATCCTATCTGTTTCAATGTAAAACTTTGATTCCCTATCATTGCCCAATCCTACCCCAGTGGACATAATTTAAGCAATTTAGAATCTACACTATCTCAGGAAGTTCTGACACAAGTGTCACCTTTTCTGGCTCAGTGGCTCAGTGGCTCTTAAGAAGATTTAAAATATCTTACATATTTCAATGTAAAAATTTGAATCCCTAGTGTGGCCCCACGCTACCCCCGGGGGCCATGACATGAACGATTTATAATCTACGCCGCCTCAGGAAGCTTCCACATAGGTTTAAGCTTTTCAGGCCCAGTTGTTCTTGAGAAGAAAATTTTTAATGACTCCACCATATCTCTGCCTTTTATTGTTTATCTCTCCTTGGAAGGAGCTTTGGCCATTCATTTTAATAATTTCATAATTCCATTTACCCAGGAATGCTTTGTAGCAAATATGGTTACAACTGACCTAGTGGTTCTTGAGAAGACGTTAAAAATGTGAAAAGTTACCATACGAACGGACAGGCAACGGGTGATCACATAACTAGAGCTTTCAGCTTTGCTGAGCTAAAGACCTTCTAAGATAAAAAAGCTAACACTGACATTGTAAATTTAAATTTTATGTAAATTAGGAATCTGGCACTTTTTTAAATTCATTAGAAAAAATATTATCAAAAAAGGACTTGACAGATAATATTAAAAACACTGAACCTCGATAACAGAAATTAAAATGGGAAAAAAATGTCATAAGAAGAACAGTCTTTGTTATAGATTATGACATATTATTCACTAGAATTAATATAAATAAAATCATTAGAATTTGACCTACAATATTGTTAAACTGTTGGGATTGTGTTGAATGTGTAAATTTAATTTTTCAGAGAACAGACACATTACAATGATTCTACGCATTGTACAGTTACTTCTGTATGTGGTACATACTCAGGCTTACGGTAAGATTCAGACATATCCTCTAAAATTATTTTTATAAATAATGGAAATGGACTTAGTCACATGTAAATGCATATGCAATCATTCTGATAAAGAATATCATACTCTACGCATAAAACGTATGCAATTCACCAAAATTTATTGTACGTTTTCAAAAGTTTATTAATCTCATTGTGATTGTACAGCTTTAAAATATTAAATCAGGAATATCAGAGGAATATACTCTTAATATACAATAGTCTTTAGATTCAAAATATTGTCAAAGTCCTAAAACAAAATTACAGTTGAGCCTTAAAACGAAAGAGGTCCAAAAGTTCAAAAGTTTACATGATTTATAGAAGTAAGGAGCTACATGTGTAATTTAAAGTGTACTTTTCCGCTAAACGGATCATTTTGTGCTCGGAGAGAATTCTTGGTCTTGGATACAAAAAAGTAAATTTTCATTGTCTGTTTCGCCATCGCCCTGCCATCTGCGCTTGTCTGTTTTTGACCAATCAACTAAAACAGAATTAACAAAAATTTACTATAGTAAATACTCTGATTAACATGAAACTTTACTCTAGAACTTTTTTGAGTTTTCAAAGCTTAAAATCACTTAAATTCGATAACACGATTTAAAATTTGGAAATATGTGAATATACAAGCAGTAATTCCATTTAATATAAAAATGTGCATGTATGAATTGGAGAACATAAAATATATCAATCTCAATTCCATAGTAAACAAGAAGTCTCTGACGAGACTGTAGCTCTACTGGTTGTACTTATAAAGGAAGATAAAAGTAGCACTTGGACTTGAAACTTTGCAACAGCAATAAATAGAATAATGATCCTTGGTTTAGTCTCTTTTTGTGGCAAGATTTATTGCAATCAGACTAAAACTGAAGGAGGAGTAGCCTTTTAAAACAATTTTACAGAAATTTGGATTTAAGTAACCATGGCAACATCATTCAACAAAATCAATAAACAATAACGACAATTATGTATCTCAGTGTATTCTACTTTTAATTGTCAAGTTATACTAAAATCAGACAAAAGTGTAGGAGGAGTAGCATTTTTTTTAAAGTATTTCACAAAAATTTCTATTTTTAGTAACCATGGCAACACCGTCCTTTGAAATCAAAAACCGATACACAGAATTATCTACCTTAAGCTTATTATAGTCTACTTGTGTGCCAAGTTATATTGAAATCAGATCAAAACTATAGGAGGAGTAGCATTTTGAACGTATTTCACAGAAATCTCTATTTTTAGTAACCATTGCAAAACCTTTCATTGAAATCAAAATCTGATACACAGAATTATGTATCTTAGTGTAGTCTACTTGTGTGCCAAGTTATATTGAAATCAGATCAAAACTGTAGGAGGAGTAGCGTTTTGAAAAATTGTTTACAGACGGACGGACAGACAGACAGACAGCTAGACGGACGGACGAGGGACACCTTACTATCACATAAGCTCTTCTGGTGTCTGACCAGTAGAGCTAAAAATACTTTTATTCACTTAATTAAAACTGAAATACTATAGTAAACTATAGTTAACTCCAGTAAACTATAGTTAACTATAGTATTTTTTTGTTAGGGAGGGCACAATGAAACAATTAATTATACGCATGTTGTGATATATATATCGGCTCAGTTCTTATCTCATCACATCAGGGGTTCTGACCCTTACTTTTTTTATCTACTTCAAAGTGGTGAGTTTTATTACCCATTCTTAGGAAACTTCAGATTAATTTTTCATAATTTCCTTTTCTAATTTTATAATTTAGCATCGAAGGATATCATTTTTTTTTATTTTAAGGATGGTGTATGGAAAAAAGAAATCGTAATCGAGTGGGAAAATGTCATTTTTTAAAGCAATTTTTAAAGAGTGTTTTGTAATTGGTCATTTTTAATTACTTATAATGTGATTTTTCATTATACCAAGTAAATAACTTGTTATTTAAATAATTATTAATAACATTTCAAACACTATATATAATATGGAAAAACACTACATATAATATAGGAAATCATGTCCACTTAATTGCGTATGGTATACCAAAGGAATTATTTCAAGCAGTGCATATATTCGGAAATTTGAAGCACAATAAAAAATATGTATGAAAAACATGTATGACAATATGTGTCTTTTCAAATATTTCAGAAAATAAATTAAGTTAAGAATTTGCACAATTATTTTAACTTCACCTTGCATTGAATAAATTAGGCCCTTTTCAACAAACTTTAACCAAAAAAAAAATCCCAAACAAACATACAAACAGACAAACAATTAAAAAAAAAACAAACAAACAAACATGAATCAAAAGAAAAAAAAATTAATAAAAAAGAAATAAAAACCCGCAATTTTGAAACAAAATATTTAAATATTTTTCCATTGAACTTCATTTTAAAGATAACATGTTGCAATACGGAGAGACCAAGCTTACCGCAATTTTGCACGGGACATCTTTGAACAAGACATTAGCATGATAAAAACACATCAATTATGCATTTTCCGACTATGAAAAACAACTATGAAGTCACACGAAACTTTAAAAGAGAAATGGAATATAAATTTATAGAACCATCACGACCAATCATGCAAAACATATTATCTTTTAACCTGTTTTATGACTGACCATTAAACTAATTTAATGTGTACTTGATCTTGCTGCACAAACTTCATGTATGAAGTCACGGATTGTTAGAGTGCAATGTAAGGAAACAGAGGATCTGATCAAACTATTTCAGAATTTGTAAATATTAACAAGGCCGTTAAAATATTTTTTAATCTTGAAGCTTAACAGGTTGTACCGAAAAATTATACATTTATTGATGATTTGAACGACGTTAAATATCATCACTAAAAGACACTATTATGTTGTCAATTGAGTCGTGTGACATGTGTTCTACATCTTCTTGATGTACTTTTTTGACAAAAAAGAATCTTGCTTCTAGATTTTTTTCAGTCTTTACATGTACATGTATTTTTTTTTGTTAAAGTGCATAAATTTTCAATAGCAAGAATAAACTTTTTAAATTGTGTTTTCTTTTATCATTGATTAGAAAATCTAGCTTTAGAGAGACCTGCCTGGCAGGAGCACAAATTCCCAACTAAACCAATAGCTTGGGGAGCAGATAAAGCGGTGGATGGAAAATATTCTAATCGCTCAGCAGGAGGTGGACAGTGTACAATATCAGACGGAAACGAGACAGCTACTTGGACAGTGGAACTAGAGAGCGTGGCTAGCATCAGTCACGTCAATATCTTCTACAGGACGGAAAATCTTGCAAGTACGTTCAAAAGTCAATTCAGAAGATTTTTCCCGTTCGTCAATTAGGTTTAAAGTAATATCAATCTAATGTTGTATAAAGCTCATTATTCTTTTATAATCAATAATACTACTCTCTAGAATTGATGACGATTTCCATTGAATCATATTTTCTGCGGTCACTTTTTTTTCACCCTGATCAAGAAATAAAATGTTTGGAACTGAAAGAGGTCCGAAGTAGTTGGAGAGTAAGAAAACAGACAATTTTTTTTTTAATTTAAGTATATATATTATTTAGAATATAGCGTACTAAGAAAAAAAATAAAATCAAACTTAACCACTATATCTCATTATAGTGATATGGGGCCATTTCAAAATATTGGCCATTTTAATTAAATTATTGTATATAGAAAAACTACAATATATAAACAGGAATGAACAAATAAAATGAAAACTAAGCCGAAAAATGTTTTGTTTTTCAGTTATTTTATGCACAAATCACAGTTCTTTAAGACATAACAAGAAAAAAATGCAGTGGTTTTTTTTTGCCAGTGAGAAAGAGGACAAATAATACACAACTTGTTTTAAATATTAATGTATTTGTTACGGAAAGTGTAATAGATTGTCCTTAACGGCACCCCTCCCCTTCTTTGCTGCCATATTCCCCATAGTTTTCATCGAATAAGAAAAATCTTTATTATATAGACCTACAACAGTTTAGCAAAGAACTACGCACGCTAACTCTCGATTCCCGCCTACATTTTACACCCATTTAATTCAATACTAATGGCAATTTGGCCGTACAATCTTTGTTGAATGCAAAGAACAGTTCAATGGTAATTGACTGATAATGTTAATACCAGGGTTAAATAGTTAATTACCCCTAATTCCAGCTCTTTAAATAAGGGGGGTAAACGATAGTTTCCATTGGAATCGGGCTTTAAAGCATCACCACATTCTAAAATATTCTGAGATATGAATAAATGTTTCTTAAATCTTTTCTTATGTTTTACGCATATAAAATCAAACATATATTATTGATAAAATACATTGTTTTAGTTGTAAACCCCTTTCAAATTTGTGAAAAAATAAGCATTTTTGTAGATTTTTGTCTGTAAACATATGCCCCCCCCCCCCGCCCCGTGAAACATAAAAAGCTTTGGTATGAATTTGTGAAATGACAGTCCATATTATCTGTAAAAAGGTATTTTTGTTTCACGGGGGGGGGGGGGGGAGACGTTTTAAAAATATTCCGTTTTCTGTTGATTTCTATAGTAAAATACACAAGTTTTACTAAAATTATAGAGTTATCTCTCCTTCTTTTCGCAAAGAAGTAATGTTTTATGAAAATTCATATAAATAACTATATATATATGAAAACATAATTCAAATATGTTGAATTTTGGAAAGTGACTTGGAGTAAAAAGCAATCAGAATTTAGTGCACATGCACAAACCTATTTTAAAACTGCCATATACAATATATACCTTTTTAGCTCATAATATAGAGCTATATAGAGCTATATGATATACAATGTTAATGAAGACAAAAGACTTGCCAGAAGTTCAATCATTAATTGGAGTGATTGTTTAAGTGAAGGAAGGGATATTGTTAAAAATGATATTTGTTCTGTTGCCCAGTGAAAGCAAGCTGGGGAAGAGATGTGTCATTAGTTAAGCAAATTTGTTATGAAAGATAGCCAAATTACAGTAACAGAAATAGTTGAATATCTTAACAATAATATCATTATTAAATCCCGACAATATCGTTTACTTTAGACTTTAAACATATCAGATATAATAAAAAGAATGCTTCTATACTTTATCACATTGGAAAAACGACTCTCCAAAGACGGACTCGGTTTGTAATGGTCACCATGCTCATCCTAGGAAAGGATATCCTTATCCACCCATCCTATTGCCGAGATTTCGCCATTTCTGTCAAATGGACTGTTATTAGTCCCCTACCGGTGAAACCGGAGGGGAGTATAGGTTTCCTCTGAGTCTGTCCGTCCGTCTGTCTGTCTGTCTGTCCGTCTGTCTGTCCCTCTGTCTGTCTGTCAGTCTGTCCCACTTGGTTTTCCGCACTTTTTTCCTAAACGCTTGCAGATATTGAGCTGATTTTTGGTATGTGAGTGTATCTTGATGAGTTACAGATCAAGTTTACATTTCGTGCCGCTTCATTGATTTTTGACGGAATTACGGCCTTTTCAATTTTTACGGGTTTTCCGCAATTTTCTTCTATACGCTTGTAGATATTGAGCTGATTTTTGGCATGTGGCTTTAACTTGATTAGTTATAGACCAAGTTTGCATTTCGTCCCGCTTCATTAATTTTTGACGGAATTATGGCATTTTCAATTCTTAACGGGAACGGAACCAGATTACACTTGCCAGTAGGGGACTAGTATTGCTAATGCAATACTCTCAGAATGCTTGTTGTTATAAAAAAATAACTTGCATGGTAAGAAATATAAGACTTGGAAAAAATTTTTAGCTTCTGGGAACAGAACGCTACGGAGCATATCACGTGACCGCCTGTATCACGTGATTCGCACATGGGCAGAACGGTGCATTTAAATTGGAGAGGACTACGTTAAAAAATAATGAACACTGAAACCTCATTTCTTTTATGGAAGTTATTCAATTAGTTAATGAACTTTAAGACCACCCCTCGTAATCAAGCTCAAAAGTCCTTTGAAAAAATACCTGTTGGAAGCAGAGCCAACATGGACCTCTGAAAACAACATAGATGCAATGGGATGCCTTGAGGTTTAAATATCCTTTCGACCGGTCACACCAGCCATGCACCCCTTGTTATGATCGGGTAACAGAAAACTCTAGATAATTACGTGTCAAAATAATGGCCTAATTTTTTTTAATGCAAAACCTTAGTTAACATTCAAGTAAATGGTAAATTGTATTTGCTAACAAGGTCATTGTATTTAGAATTTGAAAAATATTGACTTTTAACAATATTGTTGATATTCTCGTATCTTCAACTTATTTTTCAATACATGTCGCTTACCTCGCTATAGACATTGTTCTTACATAGAATATGCTCTTTCGGATCAAATCATTTGGGAGACATAAAATCCATATGCAGGTAACAATGGTTTGTTGATGGAGGGTGGAAGTAATTAATTTTATCTAAAGTTTGTTGTTAGTTTGCCATTAATGTATTTCTCTTGTAAAATGTCAAGATATGAAACAGTTGTGTCAGTCAGACTCCGTTATGTTTTTTTTTTTTTTGTATTCAAAAGGACATCGAATCAACCTAGGGATGAAAATGAATATTGTAAATTGATAAAACGTCATCGATATATTTAAATTTGAATGTCACAGCAAGTAACTTAGACTTCTTCTTTACACGTAGAAGGTTCTTCTTCATATGAATACAAAAGAAGGTCTGCTAATAACGGGGCGGACTTACAGCCGATTGGAATTCCAACAGATTTTCTGAAGATATGTTCGCCAAAAAGAACAAACGTTTAATTTACATATCAATAATTATCTGATCATACCTTGCAACCCTTAATCATACCTTGAAACCCCTAATCATTATCTAAAAATCATTTTACGAATTCAAAGTTCTAGTTGCTTAACAATCTAAGAAATGAATTCAAATTAGACCAAACATGAAACTTAAATTTATTCAACTATTTCGAAGCACGTTGAAATTTTTCTGGACTGTATAAGAATTCATATAAGGAAATGCATTTACTGGGTCAAGTATTTCAAGAAGCTCTTTATTCAGCTACATATGCAAAAAAAACATTACAAGATATTGTACCTTTCATAATATTTGCTTGATATTGCATTATAAAATTTACAAGTTGTACTTGTTTATTTAAGGTCCTGGTCCGTTCGTTGGTCGATTTGCTGGGTTTTTCCTTTACGTATCCAATACTACATCAAAACAGGGCAGTTATCTTTGTTTCCATGACCTACAAAACGATGCCCGTACTCCAACAGAGAATCAGACAATAAGCTGTCCTGTACATGGACGTTACGTTATATACTATAACGAGAGGAGACGGGGTGTTAACTATCCCGATTACTACTCTTCATATGCTTACAACGAATTGTGTGAACTGGAAGTGTATGGTTAGATTTAAGAACTACTTTTTTGACTGCAATATATATATATATATATATATATATATATATATATATATATATATATATATATATATTTATATATAATGGTAATAATAATAATTATTCGAAAAAAGGTCGGGTTTTATTTTCTCATGTAAAGTACTATTTTCGTTATGCATTACAGTGAATCATATGAATTGCGATTTATGAAGAAATACCAAAAGCAACAATAGTTTAGATTCTTGAAAATAGAGCATTTTTATGAATAAGAGAAGAGTCCAATATGTACTGATTGACTTTCTTTCTGAAGGTTGCAGCGATCCAGGAAAGTATGGTGAGAATTGTGACCAAAACTGTCCAGAAAACTGTCAGGAACAAAGATGTAACATCACCTCAGGAGAATGTCTGGGTTGTAAGCCGGGATATCAAGGTCTGAAATGCAGCAGATGTAAGTAATTAGTAATTGTTTAAGCAGTTACTGAGGTACAAAGATGCGTATTCATAATAAGAATAATTATTTTTAAGGTAGTTACAAAGAATGTTTGTATATATATTTCAGAGAAATTTTTAAAATATTTTGCTTTTCATGAGTATTTCTATCCAACCATTTATTGCTATTCCAGTGTGTGATAAACACACTTACGGCTTGGAGTGTTCTCTGTCATGTGGTAACTGTAGTGACGGAGAAACCTGTCACCATGTCAACGGCACGTGTATGAATGGTTGTAGTGATGGAGCAAAGGGAGAGAAGTGTCTTGAAGGTGAGATGTGGTCCCTTCTTCGATAATCTCGTTGTGTATGCTTATCCTTGTCATGCAAATCGGTATGCAAAAGAACTGAAATTTATCTAGATTACAGAAGCGGTCTAAAGCGGTCTGAAAAATGTATATTTTTTAACAGGAAAAAAGATGGTTGTCAATACATCTCCTACTTACATTACAATGATGCTGAGCAATCAATTTGCAATTATTGATTACATGTATGTCATGTGGAAATGCTACATGATTTTCCTTTTGCCAAAATATTTCTTATGATTCCAAAGCGAGAAAGAAATCATATAATTTTTTTCTTACTCAGAGGTTTCAAGGATTTTTTAATTAAATTTATTTTTTTTTTCAGAATTGATTCTTTATCAAATACTACTTTCTTGATCTATTTACTCAAGTACGTCGATTTCTTTGATATTTGGACAAGAAGAAAAATAAAGAATCTGGTTACAATTTACCAAGTCTTACTAATATTTGATTATTTAAAATGTTTATTATTGTTGTCTGCGAGAATATCTTCTATTAAAGCTATTAAAACCTTGTTTTCGATCTTACACTGGGCGTAACCATTGTAGTCATTTGGTTCATGACCGCTATATATTTTATATAGGTACGTTCCGTTCTTATCTTATGACTAGGGAAGGTGAAAAATTCTCAACTGTATGTATTTCTTCAGGCACGTAGCAGCGGGGGGGGGGGGGGGGTCTGCCCCCTTTTTTTTCCGAAGACTTTTTTTTACTATTTGAAATGTTAATTGAAAGGCCGGTTGCCCCCCCCCCCCCCACTTTTTGTTGTAAAATAGTCAAATAAGGGTTTTCTAGTAGTGTTTGAATAAAATTTGTTACTGAAAGAAGTTGGAACCTACCCCCTCCCCGCTAAATAGGATTTTCGAGTTCGGAAAATTTTCAATTTTCTTTCTTTTTTTTATGCCCCGCCATGAATATGGCCGGGGCATATAGTGTTGTCATGTCCGTCTTCTGTCCTTCCGTCACACTTTGCGTTTAGCTCTGTTCAAAGCTCAGTTTCAAAGAAACTATCCAAGATATTTTTATCAAATTCATATGCTGATAGATATTGATGAGAGCTATGCAACTGCATCAACATTTTTTGACCTTGACCTTTCCTTTGACCTTGACCTCACTTTTCTTAATTTAGTGTTTAGCTCAGTTTTAAAGATACCATTCAAGATAGTGTTATCAAACTTCATATGTTGATATATACTGATGTAAGTTATTCAACTGCATCAACATTTTTTGACCTTGACCTTTCTTTTGACCTTGACCTCACTTTTCTTAAATTAGTGTTTAGCTCAGTTTTAATGAAACCATTCAAGATATTTTTAACAAACTTCATATGCTGATACATACTGATGAGAGCTATTCAACTGCATCAATATTTTTTACCTTGACCTTTCCTTTGACCTTGACCTCACTTTTCTTAAATAAGTTTTTAGCTCAGTTTTAAAGATACCATTCAAGATAGTGTTATCAAACTTCATATGCTGATACATACTGATGAGAGCTATTCAACTGCATCAGCTTTTTTTGACCTTGACCTTTCCTTTGACCTTGACCTCACTTTTCTTAAATTAGTGTCAAACTTTATATGCTGATACATACTGATGAGAGCTATTCAACTGCATCAATATTTTTTGACCTTTCCTTTGACCTTGACCTCACCTTCTTTGATTAGTGTTTAGCTTAGTTTTAAAACCATTCATAATATTTTTATCAAACTTCGTATGCTAATACATACCAATGTAACCTTTCAACTGCATAAACAATTTTTTTGGACCTTAATTGACCTTTCATTTGACCTTGACCTCACTTTTCTTAATTTGTGTCAAACCATATGCTGATACATACTAATGAAAGCTATTCAACTGCATCAATATTTTTTCACCTTGGCCTTTCCTTTGACCTTGACATCACTTTTCTCAATTTGTGTTAAAATGTTGCATTACTAATATACCCTCGGCGGGGCATTCATGTCCTATGGACATATTTCTAGTTTTTTTTGGCTTGTCAAGTTTTTTTCCCGATAAGTTGAAATTTTTTTCTCCGGCTGCCCCCCCCCCCTTCAAAAATGATGATACGTTCCTGTTCTTCATTTAAAAGTTGTCGCCGATATATTTATTTGAATCATCACTCACATTATTTACATGTTCCTGTGATCATCATAAACATGAATTATAAATTCTCCATAAAATATATTCATCTTTAAATGATTTTCGTCCTATACTATATTTCTAAATATAGATGTACTGTGCATGCTCCTAGGCAATTCTTTGTGTGGTAATAATATCCTTTGAAGCGCACACATAACACTCACTTTATTTGAGTTATAGATTTCTTAAATATAAGAATATGTATATGTATCGTGAATGCACATGTTTTAATGGTAAACGTGTTTCACTGATGAACAAATGCATCTAAACCTCATCATAAGCAGACATTACGATTAGTATATAAGAAAAATAAGCACTAAAAACAGATCTTCTTGACGTATCAATTGGACAATGGTACCCAAACAAAAAAAAACTTCCGTTAAGGAAGCTCTAAACACTACTGAAAATTGCTTTTTGGACTTAAAAATATATTTGGAATGAAAAATATATAAAGGTGCACATATTCAGTATATCTAGTTCATTTTCAACATAGGGTGCCTGTCTTATTTTTGCAGAAAAAATGTTCAAAGACAATGAACTATTTGTGAACAGAAATCACCGTTGTTTACTTGCATCGGGAAAATTAATGGAAATAACGTATTCAATTACTTAATCTTTGTCTAACATAACATTAAGAATACTTTAATTCATAAGAATCTGTGTCATTAACTGTATATTCCCATTTATTCTATTTTTCTTCTAAGGGTAGATCACTCTGACTCAATAAAACTACCCTACAATAGAACTCTTTAGTGTGAAATGTTTAGAGCTTCCTTAACTATAGTTTACTATAGTATCAAAGCTCACATGTTTTCCAATTCACCCTTCACGTTTTTATATTAAATCGAGATATTGCTTATATACTTACATATCATTTCCAAAATTTATCTAATTGGTTTTGAATTCAAGTGGTCTTAAGCCTCGAACTCTCAAAGAAAGTTTTAAAGTTTCATAGTAAATAAATTTATAAAGTATTATCTATAGTTCTTTATAGTAAACTATAGTTAACTATTATATATTTTTGTTAGGGTATACAACATTTAAAGTAAATGTTCCTGTAATTGAAGATTTTATGCAATGAAATTAATGTATACATATTTAGAAATGGAAGTTATTGTTTTAAGTATACAGAGAATATTTTATATTCTACTGGCCGATTTCCTTTATATTCAGGATGCGAGGCTGGATCTTATGGTAAAGACTGTGTACAGAAATGCAGTGATAACTGTGGTATGCCAAACACATGTAACAGGTTTACTGGGGAATGTGAAGGAGAATGTCAGACTGGGTGGAAAGGAGAACGATGTGATAAAAGTACGTAAATTTTCCTCTTGCTTTATACACTAGCAAAAATGGTTTTATTCTCTTAATTACTTAAAATGCGTATGAATGACGAAAACTAACAACATTAAGATTAGTAGTTTTATAGTGAAATCCTTGTAATTGGTAAAGCTGAACAATACTCATAAATAGGCACCATCACACAGGTATATAAACCCTTCGATTTCGTTACACCCGATTGCTTACTTGAAACTCGTGGTCGACGTGTATATTCCTTTTGTGGTCTTAGATGTTTTTTTGCGTTTATTCCTTGTTTTATATGCATTTTCTGTTTGTAAATAATGCATTGACTAGTATATTTGATGTTACTTTTCTCCTGGTTCCGAAAAAAGTACGTAAAATTTGACAATTTCATCGCGACTGAGTAACACGGCAATGTGTACGTCTTCTTAGGTGAGACCTCTACAGCGAAATACTTTGAACTGTTCAGAGATCTGTGGCTTATATAGGGGTTGTTGGGAGAGCAGCGATGAAAGGGAAATATAGCGGACAATGCCTTTTACGAGTAATGTTAAGCTTTGATATACGCCTTCAAGATAAATTATATGACAATTGTAATAGTAAAGAGTTTGTTATGCTGACCCAATCTTTTAACATAGAATACATAAATGTAATAAAACATTGTGTGAACATCATATGATTGTTCAATGATCTGAATTTATCGGGAAGCAAAGATTATACTGAAATCTGCCCATGATGTATTCTGTTTATACGAGGGTTGATCCGAAAGTAATGCCATGTCACAACTGCTATATATGTTATGTCTCAAGTGCTATAAATCTTCAATAATGGAATGTTGTTATCAAAATTTCACATTATGAAACCCTTAGTACTTATTTTGCCTTAAAACGTCATACAAGGATATAAAATATTTTTTTGAAATATTAAGATAAACACAAGAGTAGGTTTTGCTTAGCGCCCGAAAGGCTAGAATGTTACCTACGTCGCTATGACGTTATTTTTCGGCAGTCATTTTCAGTTTATCTGCAGATCTTTTTATCCTCTCAAATGCTTCCTTTTAATAATCTTTACTACCAATTTGCTATAAAGCATCTTGTTTTGATTTGAAGTGTTAAAATTATTGTGTCAAAATGCCCCCCCCCCCATTATATTGCATAGATCTTATGTATTCTCAGATTTAAGAGTACATGTAGTTGGCATTCAAGAATCACCGATCGCTCTTCTTCTTCGGTTGAAATGTTGAAGAATTTGTTATCCAGACTTTACGCCAGTCTTGATGTAATAAAACTAATAGGTTAAAGATACAAAATTTGCATAAAATACCAATGTAAATGGAAGTCAAAAGACGGAAAGCTTTTAGGAAGTAGAATGTGTATGGAGGATGAGTCTTTCACGTCACTTCCACTTCCGATCCTACATTACACATTACACAGCGAAATGAATATGAAAATGGAAAGAGAATATTGTTTTTTCAAATGCCCCAAAACTAGACGTTCAATTAAGTTGGGAGTGTACATAAAATAGAACGCAAGATGTATGAGAGATTTAATAAGTAATTATATGGATGAAGTGAAAATGAGTTCCGAAGGTAAAACGTCATTACGACTCGTTACATTCTTGCGGTTCGGCGATAGACGAGATTTAACATTGTGTTTATTTTAACATTTTAAAAAGTATTTCATACATCTGAATGAAACTTAGCGCAAAAGTTGAAATAGATACTTATTTATTAAATTTTATTCATTAATTCAAGATTTAAAGCAGTTGAAATATTAATCTTGGATCAACCCTAGTTTATAAAAACAACACAAATAGCCATAATATGTTCAGTATTTCTTTATTGAAGAATGTGACGGTGGAATGTACGGTTATAACTGCAATGAAACCTGTGGCCATTGTCTTAATGATGCTCCGTGCTACCATGTCAATGGTACTTGTTTACAAGGGTGTACTTCTGGCTACGAAGAATCTCTGTGTATCAAAAGTAAGAAATTATTTTCTTTGGAAGTCAGTTGTTAACTCTTTAATTAACAATAGCTCTCTTCGAAATTCATTCACTTTGTAGGATAATGTGTAATGTTTGTCCTTCCTATATCAATGGGAAAAAAACAAACAAACTAACAAACAAGCAAAAAATAAATAAATAAATAAAAAAAATAAATTAAATAATAATAATAAATTATAAAGGTTTAAAGTTACCAACATTTAGCAGACTTCTATAATAAAAAACAAAACATATTTCGTTTTATTTTGAACTACGATTATCACAATCTCATAAGTTGCTATAAAAGTATTAATATAGTAAATAACCCTATAGTTGCTATAAAAGTATTAAAATAGTAAATAACCCTATTTCATAGAATGCCATCAAGGGAACTGGGGTATAAACTGTAAAATGAACTGTACCACAGAATGTATCAACCAAATATGTCATCATGAGTCAGGGGTCTGCTCCTCAACTTCAAAGGTGAGCTTTTAAAGAAAATGTACAGAAATACTCTCTAGGATGTAACCAGTTTTATTAATTCCTTATAAAACTGTTTTTCTAACGTTTAAGTCCTTAAAGACGACCATGAATTCCTTCCCATTGCTACCCGTGATTGTTGGTGTCATCGCATTTGTTGTTCTGGTCATTGTTGTCCTTTCTGTGATCTTAATCAGACGGTAAGATAAAACAAACCAAATAATAAAAATAAACGTACATGTCATATAATAAAATAAATTTTGAAAACATTTTGACTATTTACAAAAAAGAAAAAGTACCTTATCTTTCTTAAATTTTCTAAAACTGCTTCAAGTGGTATTCAAGGTCTGGTTAATCAGTAATGTAAAATTGTTGCTTGTTCGACTAGCAGGCAAAAACACTAAGCTGGTGCCTAGAGTTTGTAGTTTCATTGTAGTGCAAGAGCATCAAATGGCGGTAACCAGAGACAATCAAAAAAGAATAGTAAAAGAGGTATTTTTCTGCCATGTTCAACATTGAATATTTATTTCGTATTAAATTTCATCTGTATATGTTCTCATGCTTCAAAAATGTTTTATCACTAAATCGGAATAAAGTAAAAAAAAAATCAGAATTTAAAAAAGAGAAATCTCCCCTTACAGCTTAAATTCTTGAAGGAATATAATTTCTCAAATAATAGATTTTGATTGTACTTACAACATCAACATCTTCCAATGTATTTCGTTATCATTTTGTACCTATGTATCAAGCATAAGGCCAATCATTGGGGTGGTAATCTAGTCAAAATTTATAACTGCCCTTCATTCCTGACCATTTGCCCTTAAATCTCGTACAGTTCTCATGAACACTTGGTATCAGTGTATTAAGAATAAAATGGACCATGGAAATGTATTATTATAGGCCTTTCAACTAATTTTTCAAAAGGCACCTATGGTAAAAATAATCTGATAGATAGATTTATAGGTACGTGAAATTCTCAAAATACAGTATAAGCTTTACACACACTTAATGAAATCATTAAAAATTAAATTATCATTAATTGATTTTACGATGTTGTGTTTTGAGGAAAGTTATCTCAAATGTGAAAAGGTCAATAAATTGCTGATGTATAGGAATGGCTTCAATTCTGGTATTGTTGTAAATAAAGAAGTGTTTCTTATGTATCAAAACAAGGTGATTGTCTTCATTCGACCTGAAGTAATAAGATCAAAATAAAAGTGAAACGGACTATATTCAAGATTTGTAACTGTCCTCGGCAGTTGTTACGAAGAAGAAAATATAATTTCATATTTTTATGTGTGCATTGTTGTGCTTCTTCTAGAATGATGTATATTTCTACGCGTGCAATTAAATGCAGTAAATTATTGTCGTATTCTTTACATAAAGAACGAAGAAGAACAAGCAGGTTTAAAAGTGGAATCTGGTTAAAATTTAAAAGGGTTTACATTTCACGTTAAAATTTTATTCAAACTGTAGCTTATAAAGTATTGTATAAAGTCGGTAACCACGTGAAAAATAAATTATCAACTGAATTATTAAAACATAGGTCACCACTGGCAATGAGGGTTAATTTGGAAACGCTAAAAATTGATCTACTTAAAAAAAATTACTAATCTCGCGGCTGCTGTAAACAACACCCAATAGTTAGTTATCCTCCTAGCGGAAGCTGAAAGGCCTAATTATTATATCACTTCCTTTTTAGCTGCAAAACATATCTTAATAGTTAAGGTTTTAAAATCTCAAATGATTGTCCTAAAATCTCGTGGAAGCTTAGCGGCTCACTTAGTGATCGGGAAAACCGGGTTTGATTCTCGTTCCCGGCACCGCGTCAAACCAAAGACCTTAACATAGGTAGTAACCGTTCCTTCGCCAAGCACTAGATGTGAAGGTCACAGGTCTTTCGGATGAGACCTTTAAAACCAAGATCCCTTGTCAAAGTAGGCGTTGGCACGATAAAGGATCCCCACTGCTCAGTGGCCCTAAGTGTCGAGTAAAGGTCTAAATTTAAAGCTTTTTTCCAGCATCTGGTGACGTCTCACAGGAGTGAAAAATTCTTGCAAGGGACTTAAAACAACAATCAATCAATCTTGATTTTTCAGTGAATATGGCCGTGGTATATAGTGTTTGTCATGTCCGTCTTCAGTCCTTCTGATCTTCCGTCCTTCCGTCTGTCCTTCCGTCACACTTTGCGTTTAGCTCTGTTCAAAGCTAAGTTTCAAAGAAATACCCAAGATATTTTTATCAAACTTCATGAAGTTAGATATCGATTAGCGCTATGCAACTGCATCAACATTTTTTTGACCTTGAACTTTCCTTTGACCTTGACCTCACTTCTCTTAAATTAATGTTTAGCTCAGTTTTAAAGATAAGTGTAATCAAACTTCATATGTTGATACATACTGATGTAAAATATTTAACTGCTTCAACGTTTTTTGACCTTGACTTTTTCTTTGACCTTGACCTCACTTTTCTTAAATTAGTGTTTAGCTCACTTTTAAAGATAGCATTCAAGATAGTGTAATCAAACTTCATATGTTGATACATGCTGATGTAAGCTATTCAACTGCATCAACATTTTTTGACCTTGACTTTTCTTTTGACCTTGATCTCACTTTTGTTAAATTAGTGTTTAGCTCAGTTTTAATGAAACCATTCAAGATATTTTTAACGAACTTCATATGCTGATACATACTGATGAGAGAGCTATTCAACTGCATCAATATTTTTTACCTCGACCTTTCCTTTCATCTTTGCCTCACTTTTCTTAAATAAGTTTTTTTAGCTCTGTTTTAAAGATACCATTCAAATAGTGTTATCAAACTTCATATGCTGATACATACTGATGAGAAATATTCAACTGCATCAATATTTTTTGACATTGACCTTTCCTTTGACCTTGACCTCACTTTTCTTAAATTAGTGTATAGCTCAGTTTTAAAGAAACCATTCATAATATTTTTATCAAACATCATATGCTTATACATACTGATATAACCTTTTCAACTGTATCATCATTTTTTTGACCTTGACCTTTCCTTTGACCTTAACTTCATTTATTTTAAATTGGTATTTAACTCAGTTTTGAATAAATCATTCAAAATATTTTTATCAAACTTAATATACTGATACGTATTTATGAGATCTATTCAACTGCATCAAAAACGTTTGACCTTGAACTTTTCTGGGACCTTGACCTCACTTTTCTTAAATTTGCATTTTGCTTAATTTTAAAGAAACCATTTAAGATATATTTATGTAAGCATATGCACTTGTACATAATTTGGTGAGAATTCATCGTCTATATCAACTTTCTAGATTTCAATTTTAGAGAAACTATTCAAGAAATTCTCATCAAATTTCAAACACAAATACAAATTTTCATGTTGCATTACTAATATACCCTGGCGCCCGCGTGGCGCAGTGGTTAGAGCGTCTGCTCTAGAGTCGCGAAGTAAGGAGATGATCCTTTCGTCGCGGGTTCGAATCTCACTGTGGGACGTGGAGACCGGTTCTTCGGATGAGACCGTATAAACCGAGGTCCCGTGTCGCAGTAGGTGCTGGCACGAAAAAGATCCCTCACTGCTCAATGGCCGTAAGTGCCGAGTATAGGACAAAATTTGCAGCTCTCCACCGGCAAGTGGTGGCGTCTCCATATGAGTGAAAAATTCTCGAGAGGGACGTTAAAGAACATACAAAAAAAAAAAAAAACAAACCTAATATACCCTTGGCGGGGCATTCATGTCCTATGGACATATTTCTAGTTTTTTAATGCATCTGATCTTCGTAGCGAATATGATACACTGAGACTGAACAGGTGAATGGTATCTTTAGGTGGCCACTTTAATGTTATTACCTAATTTTTGAATTTGAAGAGCTAGTTCCATATTTAAGATCAAATACTGTACAGACAAAGGCACTGGTGAAAAACAAAGCTTGTTAAAATTAATCTATACATAGTTGTTATATGATGTAACATCACAGTAATTATCAGTAGAGTAGTTATGTTTTGAAGTTTGCATTTGACAGCCAAAAAAAGTTCTTAACACTGAACGTAACCACAGTCAAACGAATCTACACATATGTATACTTTTCATTCAAGCTACATCACCAACAGCGAAGAAGGAGTTCAAAAATATTTATGAGAATATAGAAGTGACTTCAGAATCCAGAAACCTGAGTGGTTTTCGCAGGTCAGGTAAACATACTCGAGAAGAGAAAGCGAACAACATTGAGGGAGACGACGATATTGACAACGACGAGAAAATTCATGAGGAAAATCCATACGGAGATTTCTATTTGAATGAGGAAACAGTTCCAGATATCAATATTGATGAAATGGAAAATATTATTAAAGAGAAACGGCAAAATGAAGACGATGGCTTTCAAAGAGAGTATGCAGTAAGGATATCTAAAAGGATAGTTGATATATCAATGATAAGTTAATACCTTTGTTCTGTTTTGAAGCATCTATTTTTTCAATACTTAGGCACTTCCATACGGTGAAAGATATCCTTGTTATGCTGGAAAACGGCCAGAAAACATAACAAAGAACAGATTCAAGACCACGTTTCCTTGTATGTTTTGTGTTAAAAAAAAATAGAGATGTTTACGTATGTAAATTACTTACCAAACAAAAGCATATTATTTATTTTTCAATATAAACGCATTGAATACTTTCAGATGATCATTCCAGAATCAAATTGTCCAACAGCCAGTCTGACTACATCAACGCCAATTATATTGATGTGAGTTCGTTGGTATACGGTAGCAGATGGCATTAAAATGTCTTGTCTTTCCTAATAGTAAATAGCTTCTTAGAAAATAATCTTTCTTTCAAGTTTAAGGATTCCTTTAGATTTCTTCTGCTATTGGGAAATACTGGGCAAAAAAGGGTCATGAAAAAAAAAACTACATGAAAATAAAATATTGAAAACAGAAAAAAAAAATGTTTCTTAAATATATAGAGTCTCATCTCTTTAAAGAGTACGACCTTTTACAAAGAATATTATGCTAAAATGTTTCACATCATACATTTTTTGTATCCCGGAATCATTTTCCCTAGCTTATTAAAATCTTTTGAAATTATGTTTTGTCGCCCGCGTGGCGCAGTGATAGAGAGTCTGCTCTCGAGTCGCGGGTTAAGGAGTTGATCCTTACGTCGCGGGTTCGAATCCCACTGTGGGACATGGAGACCGGTCCTTCGGATGAGACCGTATAAACCGAGGTCCCGTGTCTCAGTAGATGCTGGCACGAAAAAGACCACTCACTGCTCAATGGCCCTGAGTGCCGAGTATAGGTCAAAATTTGCAGCTCTCCACTTGCAAGTGGTGGCGTCTCCATATGAGTGAAAAATTCTCGAGAAGGACGTTAAACAACAAACAAACAGAAATTATGTTTTGTAATGTATCATTAATGAGGACTTTTGTTTCCTTTATTCAGGGTATTGATAAGACAGATGAATATATTGCATCACAAGGTACATATTTTTACATATTCGGTTTTCATTCATTTGTATACTGCAACACAAGGTTTCAGTGTTTCTGTCTATTCATTGCAATTTTTGACCTCTTTATATAAACATGTAATAAAGCTCACCGTCAGCAAGTAAAATGTTAACTAACAGATTTAAGCCTCTGTAACAGGACCTCGACAGAACACAGTGACAGATTTCTGGTCCATGATTTGGCAAGAGAACGTCCACCAAATAGTTATGCTTACCAACCTCAAAGAAGGCAACAAAGTAACTTAATCTTAATTTTACAAGTTATTGAAAGGCAATTATTGGAAATAATGTGATTGTCATTGACACCATAAAAGTGATAAAATTGTAGAAAGGTATGTTCCCTAATATAATGCAATAAATATAAGTACACTAAACAATGTATTCTTAGAAACAGTATAACACGAATATGTTGGGTAGTTTTCTTATTCTTTCCGTGAAAAAAAAAGATATTCAAAATTTATGTGAGAAATAACAGTGATTTTTAAAAACATATTAGAATATTGTATTTTATGTTTACTTACCAGGCAAAGTCTGACAAGTACTGGCCTGATCTACAACACTCGGCTACATTTGGTCTGATTTCCTTACGCACGGAGGAAGAACAAATCTATGCCTATTATATAATCAGGAAATTTAGAGTTACACATAAAGTGGTGAGACATAAAATTATCACCGATTTAAATTATATCACTCCTGACATGAGTTATATTCAAGGATTGTTTTAGAAGTATATTTTAGGTGAGTACTCATATTACATGTAGCATGACTCAAAATCGCAAAGAAAATTGAGGGTCAGTGTGCATGTTACTGAGCAACCGTACAATTAACTTAACCTTTTTGCACTTAAAAATTATCTTTAATCACTTCAACCTTTATAATATTTTACCAGATGTAATCATGGCAATAAATATAATCTTATTTTAAGTAAAATAGTTAAATTAATAATTATTATTGAGTAGACACTGCAAATTAATGCACGTTAATTATTGTGTGACCATTTTGCACAAAAAATATCGTATTTGGTGTATTAAAAATTTTAACCGGCAATTGAACATTTTCTTGTATCAAGCTTTTTATGACTTAGTGCTGATCGGTTGAGAGTATCATGTAGTTGAAAATAATAAAGAAAAAGTTGGGATCAGTGATGTAAATTTTGAAATATTTATCAAAATAATATAAAAAACAAGACGTGTTTGTGAAACACTGATGCCCCCGTATGGCAGCTTATGGCGAAGGTTAAAGTTTCTCAAATGCAAGTCAAAATCCAGGCCAAAAGATAAAAAATGTTGATACCCAAAGAAAGGTCTTGTCTATATAGGAATATACCTGTGAAATTTGAAAAACCTAGCTGCAACTGTTCAAAAGTTATGGCGTTGGTTAAAGTTTTTTAAAATAAAAGTCAAACGTCAAGATCAAGGTCAAAGTGGTTGGTATCCAAAGGAAGGTCTTGTCACAAGGATTACATATGTGAAGTATGAAAGCCCTAGCACCAACCATTGAAAAGTTATGACTAAGGTTAAAGTTTTTCGAAAGTAGGTCAACCTCCTATGTCAAGGTCAAAGGGTCAAAGTGGTTGGTATCCAAAGGAAGGTCTGTCACAAGGATTACATATGTGAAGTATGAAAGCCCTAGCATGAACCATTCAAAAGTTATGGCCAAGGATAAAGTTTTTCAAAAGTAGGTCAAACTCCAAGGTCAAGGTCAAAAGGGTTGGTATCCAAAAAAAGGTCTTGTCACAAGGATTACATATGTGAAGTATGAAAGCCCTAGCTCCAACCATTCAAAAGTTATGGCCAAGGATAAAGTTTTTCAAAAGAAGGTCAAACTCCTAGGTTAAGGTCAAAGGGATTGATATCCAGAGGAAGGTCTTGTCACATGGAATACACATGTAAAGTTTGAAACCCCAAGCACCAACTGTTCAAACTTATGGCCAAGGTTAAAGTTTTTCAAAAGTGGGTCAAACTCCAAGGTCAAGGTCAAAAGGTTAAAGTTGTTGGTATCCAAAGGAAGGCCTTGTCACAAAGAATACACATGTGAAGTTTGAAACCCCAAGCACCAACTGTTCAAAAGTTATGGCCAAGGTTAAAGTTTTTCAAAAGTGGGTCAAACTCCAAGGTCAAAGATGTTGGTATCCAAAGGAAGGCCTTGTCACAAAGAAGTTTGAAACCCCAAGCACCAACTGTTCAGAAGTTATGGCCAAGGTTAAAGTCTCATAAAATTTTGCAAGGTCAAGGTCAAAAGGTTAAATATGATGGTACCCAAAGAAAGGTCTTGTCAAAAGGAATACACATGGGAAATATGAAAGTCATAGCTCCAACCAATCAAAAGTTATAGGCAAGGTTAAAGTTGACAACAGACAAACAGGACAAAAACAATATACCCCCAGGATCTTTCGATCCAGGGGCATAAAAATATCTGGTCAAGAAAACGATGTAAAATCTTGACTTCTGCAATATATTTTCTTTTCTTGGCAAAGTATATTGAGTGAATGTGAAAAATTTGTTCTAAAGACATTAGCTGAGACCTATATTTATTATCCCTAGCATATAATAACGAAAACAATTATCTGGAAAAAAATGTTGGGATAAAATTCTAAGATATTGAGAGGGCTGGTTGGTCGCTGCCATTGTATAGTGTTATTATCTCTAAACAAAAAAGATTTTCACTTTGAAGTCTTGTAACTGTTCCTTAGTCCTGGAAGAGTTATTAATGTTCTTTAAATGAACTCTTCATCCTAATAAGGTAATAAAAGTCCATGAAAACAATTGTCAAGATAAACTATCAGAAATGTCAAGACAAAACTAGGCAGTTTATACATGTTATAAGTGGTGGAAAAAAGATTTATCCGTTTATGTAAACAACAATAACAGCGACTGCAGTGATTGTTTATCTACGTAGAGTCTGAAGTGCATGTACTGCAAAACCATGCATACTTCTCCAAAGAAAAACACGTGTCCAAGTATACTGAGTTTTTCAGTGTTTGTCATCGGTATTGTTGCTTAAAACCTGGACAATATTGACCAATCTTCAGTTTCAGGTAATACGTTTGATTGTTCTTTTCTTTTTATTTTATCAATTATAAACATGTTTAAACATACAAACATGACTTCTTATAAACACCTAAATTATATATATGTATGTATAAAAGGCCGGGCAATCTCCTTGAATATTATATGAATTGTTCAATGACAAATATAAAGAACAGGACTCGGGTATATTATAAATTGATATTATTTGTTCCATGAAAAGAATTTCAATAATCCTTAAGGCCCTGGACATATTACTTTACTAGAGGCAGATATGATGATATGTAATGTGCATAATAATATGCCCTTGGTACAAAAAAGTTGTTAAATATTTTGACATTGTTAATTATGAAATTTAAATAAGGCCCTGATTTTATAATTTAAGATACTTAGTGAATAATTAAATACATACATGTATGATATGACTTGAGATTTAAAATGCATTTTAGAAGAATGTTGTACTTATTATCAATTTATAAGCATTTATGTGTAATTTTCAGAAAATTCAGGGAAAATCAACTGGAGCAACGCGGACTTGTGCTTGAGGTAGCATTACAATTTTTGGAGTAACAACTATGCTGAGGATGCAGTCACATACATGTATGCCATCAACCATTGCATCGAAAAGACCACTTTTTGAAGAATAATTTTTTAAGGGAAAAAATTTCCCCCAAGGATTACTCATCATAAATCTTCCGTACCTAATGGTACAGAACATCCAAAATTATAAACATCTCATCTCTTTCATATTTAGTTGCAGCAGAAATTTTGTCTGATATTGTGGCTGTGAAAATTGCAGATAATAAGTTGGTTGTGGTATTTTAAACATTTGAAAATGTTGTGAGAAAGGAATGCCACTGGATTTCAGGATATTGAAACATTATTTAAAGATCAAGTTCATGAAAAACCTGAGGTTACAAAATAAAAAAAAAAAATCAGCATTTTTCTGAATCTACAAAGGGAGGTAACTAGTAATATACCAAATATTTTGTTGGAATTTGACAATTTTTATTTCCATTTCTTAAAATTCACCAGCAGAATTTTTTCTCTATGCTTGATTTATATTATACATATATTGATCATTATTATGTAACAATTTGAGCAAAATTCTCTAGTTACTTTTTTTTAATTTGAATAATTATTGCATAAATGTAAAGTGTGTATTTTCACTAGATTGTCATGTTTATCTAACATTTTCATTGTAATGAAGGATTTTTTAATTAAGTCAATCATTTCACCTTTTTGCATCCAAAAAAATGTCATTTTTCTGGCATTAAAAATTTAACAAGCAATAAAATCATTTGAAAGTATTGACATTTTTCTGAGTTTAAGCAGAATGGTTAAAATTATCTTATTTTTGCAGAAAATAAAATTAAAATTGGAGGTCTGTGATGTTTTTTTTTAAAGATATAACTAAAATAGTGCCAATTTTTTGCCTAAAATGGGCTATTTTTCCCCCCAGGACTTTCACAATATATTCGTTATATTTGTCCAATATGATGACAGAATTCATGATGGTTAATTTAATATATTATTTAAGACCAGCATAAAACATTTCACTGCTCAAAATAACTTTGTGTGCAGGCTGCATGTAGAGATAGGAATCCAAACGTAACAATACTGTAAATATTTCGAATGAGAAAAATTGACCATTTTCTTCAATAAAACCTTCCGCCACAAAATATACTTCCTAACTTAATGATTTCAGTATGGAATTTAATCATAGGGTTTTAATTGAATATAGTTAAATTAGCATTGCAGAATCCAAATTTATTGTAAGAACTAAAACGGTATGCAAAATTTTTTAGATAGAGGTCTACACAAAAATCTGCCCAGAAGCTCAGGAACGAACCTCGTTAAATGAAACAAATGTGTAGATTTAAAGAATGTCTTTCTAAATATCCTTCAACCACAAAAAATAGTTCCCCATAAATTTTATATTTTTTAATGATTTTAGCAGTTTTAAATTGAATGTTGTATAATTTTAATTGTGTAATTCAATTATGTAATAGTGATTGAATTGTAATAAAATTATAATTTTTGAAATTAGATGTTTTGACCAAACTTTTTTCTCAAAAGCTGACGAGTGAGTTATCTTAAAGAAAAAATATAAAACTTACCAAGCAATACCTTTTTGAGGTTGTTCTTCCTCTCACTTTTTTTTTTACAAAGAGTGACAACTCTTAATGTTATTGATTGTATGAGTAAACATACTGAAAGTCAGGTAACATAAGAGCAAGTTTCAGACATATATTGCATCCGTTTTCTTTTAAAATGAGTTTATTGATTCACTGACAATCTTATATTGTGTGATAAAGTTGGTTCAATACTTAAAACAAATACGAATTTTATTTGTTTCTTTTTAAGTTCTATTAAAATACACATTTTAAGATTTTATTTCATTCAAAACGTCAACTATGAGCCCTACTGTAATGACTAAAATATTTCTTCTTTTGGATTTGAATGGTTTAGAAGTATCCCAAAATATTTCGTTTTAGATTTAATCAATGGAAACTGTTGATTTGACACCTCATGAGTTAAATACATGTTTATTTATCAGAAATGCTCATCTTTTGTCGTTCCTTGAAGAGGAATGCAATACGCATATTTGAAAACTTTGGAACTATATTTAAAAATATTTTGTCCTATTTTCGTCAGCTTAAAAGATCTCGCCTATTAACCCAGTACCACTATACTGCCTGGCCAGACCACGGAACACCAGAACCGCTCTGTCTTGTAATTTTCCATGACCACGTTACAAGGACAAAAGATAAACAAAAAAGTGGTCCAACATTAGTACACTGCAGGTTAAAAGAATATGTTTGTAACTTATTATATATCTTGATAAGATGAACTTTTATTTAATTTCTATAATATTGATATGGTATTTTGGCTCATATTTTACTTTAGCGCGGGTATAGGTCGCACGGGTACATATATCGCTATTGACGCTTTATACAAGGTGGGCAAAACAGAAAGGAAAGTCAACATCGCGGAATATGTGAAAAAAATGAGAGAACACAGAATGAACATGGTTCAGACATATGTGAGTTCATATAGCTAATGACTAACTTTGCATTTTAATTGTACATAAATAATATAGTTACGACTGCAAATAGAATAATTTTTTTTTTCATTTAAGTAATCAATACTTTTCTTTAATAATTTTAATGGGATATTTTATAGTCAGAGAGTCTTTGAAAAATATTCAGATAAAATGAACCTTATAAACACATTGAATTTATAAATGAATAAACTTAAGTCAAGTTATGCAAATATTTGAAAAAAAAAGATACTAGTAACATAGTGTGTTTTATTTTAAAATTTAAGGAGCAATACATGACTATCTTTCTGGCTCTTGACGCCATGTTCAAAGCTCCTCCATGTGTACACACCAAAACTGAATTCTTAAGGAGAGCAGAGTTAATGGCTCGAGATAAACCCGCTAATGAAAGTGAACTCGGAAAGGAGTTCCAGGTACATGTAAAATAAAAAATGTAAATGTCTGATGAAACATTTTTGACAGAAACATATGAAATGTATGTACATATCGAACGCTTTATGTTTCAAACATTTCTCTGTGTGCACACCTGCATATCACCAAATCATAGAAAATAAATGAAATATAATGATTTAAACATTTAGAATCTTCTACGAGTGCGACCAGCGTTTACATACGTGGATTACAAGATTGCTCTACAAAACGGAGGTAGTAAATCGTCTGTTCTTCCACGTGAGTGGTTTATACAAAAATTTCCATTTTACTAGTAATGTCAGGTAATAGTCTAGCTCTGTGCATTATTGCCAATGATTTGTCACAATATTATTACACATCTGTTCTAAACTCAGCCTTTTTATGTATAATGAAGGCGCATTGTAATTGTAAATTGAAAGTGTATATGATTTGATTTTTTTTCTCCAGGCTATAAAAGCTGTTAATATAGCTCTATACTTTTTTCAAACAAAAAATTATGCTATCGATAAGTCACATGAATGCGTTTCTGTTTCATAAACGAACTCAAAATTGTGCTTGAGATATCCAATATTTTTAAAATTGCGTTTCCCTTTCTCAATTGCCAAATATTGCCAATCCTTGACTAATTTTAGTTGTCTTTTTTATTAATTTTCAAATTTCACTTTGATACCTACTTGATGGTATTGATAAATGTCAGTCATATCTGAAATGAGAAAATGCTAAAGGTCTTTCCTTTTTTCAGTTGATAAATACATCCTCTTCCTGTCTTCAAGTGTACCAAAACGCGGGAATTACATTAACGCGGTTACTCTGCCTGTAAGTATTCTCAAGTATGAATGAATGGGGTATATATTACCCCTTTCCGTCGGTCATTCTGTCATTTCGACGTAGTAAATTTCAGACTTCTTTACAGCTTGTTGATAATGAGCTGATTTTTTTTGATATGTCTCTTTCTATTACTTCCAAACTTTGTAATTACGAATTTTGTGGAAGACTATACTAGACAATGGACAAGAAGACCTTTACACTTCGTCAGAGTGGATTAAAATTATCAGATAGATGTTGAAATGAAAACCATCTCTTCAATAATTAAGAAGTGAAAAAAGAACTAGATAACACGATCAATATATACTCGACCCAGCTGATAAAGCAGGTAGCAACACTGTCTTTGTACATTTACCTGTACATTATTTCAATAGTATTTTAGAGGAACTTGGATTTAAATGTGCAAGTGGTAATCCAACTTTACTTATAGTTCCCTTTCCAAGAAGGAAATTCTTCAAAATCAAAACAAAAATGAAGGCAAGCTATTGGCTAAGCGTTGATGATACAAGGATATCAACAGTCCCGTTTAATGTCAACATTTCGCAAATTCTATGGTCGATACAATGACCTTGTTAGCAAATACAATCTATCATTTAGCCGGATGTTTACTGACGATTTTCATACAAATTTTTAGGTCATTATTTTCAAACTGAATTGTCTACGGATATTTCCGTTTGCCCGTTTATGACAAGGAATACACGACGGATGTGACCGGTCGACAGAGGATGCTTAACTCCTTTCTGTCACCTTATCCCACCTCTAATGTTTTTAGAGGTTTGTGTTTGTTCTGGGCTGAATTTCAATTGTTGCAATGGACTTAAGAGTTTGACTACTGTTCGTTACTTTCATATTTCATTGATGACTTTAGATCAAGTTTGCTTGTGAGTGATTACCTTTTCACGCAGTTTAAGTTTGTTGTGGTATATTGACAACTGATTCCTGAAAACCAAAGCAGCAGTGTATTTTATTTTTGTGCCGTATTCATCCATTATTATCTTCACACTCTTTCATATACATCTTTTTAAACTTGCCTGTCAGTGAGGGAGTTAGTGACACTCTGACACATCTATTTTTCTTGATTAGTTATTGTAGAATGCAAATATATATAAATAATAAATACATTTTCTAAAGGGTACGAATTTTTACAATAGCATATAAGCGTCCCTTTACAGGTACGTCATCATTGCTGAGGACTTAACGGGTTTTATGTGATAACTGACTTATCTTATATATTATTATAGGCGCTTAACTCTTTGAAGAATTTTGTTAAGCCTAAGCCTTTATGTCTTTATTTTAGTCATACACAAATCCAAGTGCATTCATAATAACACATAATCCCTCACCAGAGAACGCTGTTGACTTTCTGCGCCTACTCACTGATCATGAGTCAGACGTTCTGATTTGTATGGATCCTCTTAATGAAATTGAATCAGTAAGAAATATTCGTTTATTTATGTTAACAAACATTTTACCAGAAATAAATACGCAATAGACAAATTAAAACTGTTACTGCTTATAGGTTATTTTGTTTATATTGACAGAGAAAGGCATGGCTACCTGTCCTCAACAGTTCAAAAACTGTGTCCCCATACACAGTACACTGCAAGCAACAGCAAGTTAGTGATATTAAATGTACCACAATCAGCTGCATTAAACAGAAAATGGTAAGTCAAATTGAGTCATGGTTGGTTTCTAGTAAAAAAATATGAAGTCAGTGTTTGATAGTCAACAACTCTTGAACATTGGTAGAAATGATAAGGTAATAGTTTTATTGCAGGGGTTCAAATGTCACCTAATTTAACACTAAAACAACATAAAATTGTTACTTTTCAACTTTTCCTTTTAGGAGTAGATGATCACTGTAGATTTTGAGGTCAAAGTCAAACTACTATAGACATAGGAAATTCTTATCAATTCAATATCTTCAGAACATAAACTTGGTACACTGGTTCTAATTAGGGAGTTTATGACCGTATTGATTTTCAGGTCAAAAGTGAAAAGTCAAACTGGACAGACCACTTAAAATCTTGAAAACTCTTTGCTTCCCAGACATATAATTCGGTACACTGGTCCTCCTGAGGAATTGATGGGATTTGATATCACAAGCTCACAAGTCAAAGTTAAACTACTCTAGACTTATGGAAATGTTGTCCTTTCAATAGCTTGGGATCCCTTTACTTGAAAGACATCAAACTTGTTCCAATTAAGAAGTATATGACCCCTATTGATTTTGAGATCACAAGATCAAAGGGCAAGGGATAAACTATTGTAGACATATGAAGATCTTGTGGTTCAATTTCTTGAGAACCATTTGCTTCGCAGACAAGACATCTAACTTGGTGCATTGGTTCCCCCTGGGGAAAAGATAACCCTTTTTATGTCAGATCAAAAGATCCAGTGTAAAGGTAAAACTGGACATAGGAATATGTTGACTATTCAGTATCTCGGGAAACCTATGCTTGACTGACATCAAACTGAGGTGAGGTACAGATAAAATATAGAATAATGTTTGCCCCTACTAGAAGATGACCAATTCTTTTAACCATCGTTACATATATTCTAAATTTAAAGTTTTCCTAATTTTGATATTGCCGTAAGAGGGACATATATTTTTCTTAAACTTTTTTTTCTTCAAATAAGTTTTTAAAGTCCTCTATCTGACGCGACATGCTCACATTTAAAGGCGTAACGTTTTGTCATACTCTAAGCATTTGAATGCTGGACAACTCGCCCCCAAGATAGGTTGCCCCCAAGACAACTCGCCCCTATTTAGGACAACTCGCCCCTATTTAGATCAACTCGCCCCCAATTCAATTCAGGACAGCTCGCCCCCCAGTTTAAGAAACCAATAAGTATTAAATATATTATATAGATATTTGAATTTAAAAATGTTCCTAGAAAGTTAAAACAAACAACTGAAAATAAAATTTCTCAATTTTATTGAAAATGAAACACAACACAAATGATTTAACACTAATATATATTGTCGGCACTGGCACTTTTTTGATATATCTTTACTAAATTCACACTTTTGTTTACATTTTCATCACAAATAAATATATGTAATTTTCAGAGCTTGCATGCTTTAATTCCTCATCACGTTGTAGCTGCTTCGGAGCTTGGATATACGGCATGCTAATTTTTTTTAAACAACTAAAAATACGTAATTTTTGGAGCTTGCTTGTTCAAATTAGTCATCACTTTGAAGTATCCAAATTAATTGTTAGCTTGGGGGTGTCATTAAAAAATTTGTCTGATGTTTTCATTTAATTAGTTAAAATCATTATCATGTTTCTTAAAGCCGTAAGTTAAACGTTAATTTCGTCATTAAATAATTCAGATGTTTTAACACTGAGGACAATGTGCTCCTTTAAAATAGACATATTTTATAAATATAAATTTAAACAAAATGTGTTCGTGAAACACTATGCACCCGGCGGCAACAAAGTTCGAAAAAACTATTTTTAGCGTATAGGTCACAGTCAAGGTCACAAGGTCATTGACCTTGGTGTCATTTGAAAGAACTTAATTAGTGGAGTATGCATACCAAATATGAAGTCTCTATCTCCTATGGTTCAAAAGTTATGGCAAAGGTTAAAGTTGACAACAGACAGACAGGGCAAAAACAATATGCGCCCCCGATCTATCGATCCGGACGCATAAAATGATTAATCAAATGCATTTATTCACTCTATTTCATAAGAATAAAATTTAAGAAAGCATGGATATTATGATAAATCTTTTATGCACACATTGTGTTTTTATACAAAAATATGATGTAAATGCATAAAAAAAAAATAAATAACCTAGCCATTAAAATCGTAAAAATTTATAATTTAAATTTGCATATGAAATATACATAATTGAATAACAGTTATTTTTTTCCCTTGCAATTCACAAGAAAAAAATAATGGGGGCGAGCTGTCTTTAATAGTGTTGGGGGCGACTTGTCTTGGGGGCGAGTTGTCCTGATTCCAAGCATTTTCAATAGGAATACTAGCATTCAATTCAAATATTTTGTAACTAATGGAAAATGTATTGACTTCGATAGTGAAATTTGATTGAATTACCTTTTTCTTCACAGGCAAACATCGGAGGATTTTCAGTGTCGATCATAGAGCCAAAAGAAAACCTGACAACCACTGATCATTCCCATGCAATAGTGCAGATGTTACGTCTGGTTTCCTATACTTTACAAAGTGAAAGCGAGGGTCCTATAACCATAATCAGCAGGTGATTGATGTAAAATCATGACATAAATAGTATAGGAAGTGTTTGCATGAATACTCATCATGATTGGTCTCGCGCTTTGGGCAAAAAAAAAAAAAAAATGGAGAACTTCCAATTAGAATTCCATGTTATATTGTTTTTAGTTTTTAGAATGTATCTTTCTGAGTGTGTTTAACCCCGATTCTCAAAATACTTGTAAATAGTATCGATGGGAATAGAAATTATCACCGAATCATACGCTCAATAGGGAAAAAAGATTCAACGTCAAACTGTCTTACTCTAGATAGAACGTTGGACAGATGTATCTATTTATGTTAGTTTTGAGCTCGTTGGTAGCAAATTAAATGCCATAACTTCTTTAAAAGGTGAAAAGTGCCGTCGAACGAAAGATTAACACAGAAAATATCGGAACTCTGTTTTAAGTTACATTCAAAATGATTTATGAAATAAATGTTAAAAACTAACGTGTATTTAAACAAATAAACAGGGTTAGAATCCTCATTTCAACAACTTTACCCTAACAGTAGTTTTGCCCATTGGAAATAAATTTTGGATACAATTTTTGGAATTTAAACATAGTTGAATTATGGAAATTATACATAATTTATCTTTCTCATGCCATAACAGCAATCATGCATGGGCAAGCAAAAAGCTTGTGTTATTTTTTAAAGAAACATCTTTTTCTGAAAGCAATTCTTGTCAGCAACTTTTTTACAATGTATGAAACTTCTACGTGCTTCTTTTTTTTTTATTTGAATGTTTATTTATATAAATTAAAAAAAAGCATAAACAAACATACATGTGTATATACCCAGTTGCGTAACAGCCTTGGTACAAGTGTTATGGGACTAGATGAGACAGAAGCATAACAACCCTAATACACGTGTATTGGACTAAACGCAGCTCTGTTAAGGCTGCATAAAAGGAGCAGGGCCTAATTTATACGGGAAATGATTACCGTGACATCAAACAAATATACCAATTCCTCACATTAGCAGAAAATGAAATAATTTGCGATTTAAAACTGCATAACAGTAACAAACTACATCAAAACTACATTTTTCTTTTTATTTGAAGTTAAGTAAAACTTTTATACACCATGTAGCGTTATGCTAAAAAAAAAACAAACATATTTAGTACTTAACCAAAAAAAAAAAATTATTAATGCCTACTGAGAAAATCAATTTGCCCGTCGTGTTATTTTGTTTTACTTTATGCATTACTTGTATACATGATATCATATGTAGTGTTATTCTGTAAAAAAAAAACAATTTTATAGCTGTATTTATTTTCTTAGCCTAATCACAATTTACATTGGCCTTATTTATAAAGCACGTCTGCAAAGAAAATCTATAATCTGATAACGCTACTCCATTTAAAAAAGACTTACATTTATTACTTTTATTATATTTTAGCAGAAAAAATATTAAAACAGGTATTAAAAGTCGCTATTCATATAAGAGCTGTGTGCTGTAATGTTAAACGCGAACATAATTACATAAATAAGACAAAGGGTAAATAAATATATAAAATATTTCATAAACGTTAATACATAAAATATTTTCATAAACGTTAATACCTGGAGTCATGAAATGAACGGACACATTTAAGATCAGGATTATTAAAAAAAATACTGTAAAAAATAAATATATAATATATATAATACATGCTATAAACCATTACCTAACGCCTTAAGGTGTACACACAATGCATATTATAATAGTTTTTCAGTGACAGGGCAGTCCTGTATGGTGTATTTTGTGCTGTATATAACACGCTACAACAGCTAGTTGTCTATATATATTAATATTACTAGATGAAATCCCGTGCAAGCGCGGGGAATTGAATTTATACCACTACCGACAGAAAATATATTGTGGTTTCTACTGACAGCCTACAGGCTTATAGCAGGAAGAAATACTTTGTTCAAAATCCCGCAAGAAGTAGATGTACGTCTTCACCCCACCCCTTTTTTGTAAAAGCTTGAAAAATAACAATTTTATTAATTGACGTTTATTTTGAAACCTGTAATGTTATGTTATGGATATTGTACTTCAGATGCTCTTAATTCATTTCCGTCTAGGATAAAAGCAGCAAAATACTGTAAACCAACTATTATTAGCTTCATCTTTTATTCGCGATTCGTCAGTTTGAAATGAATCCGCGACGATTAATTTTCGCGACTGAGGAAGTATATTCTATTGAAATACAAAGCCAAAAATATGGTTCGCGGCTATTAATATTCGTGATATTAAGTAGGTCGCGAAACTCGCGAACAATTCTCGCATGCGAATAAAAGTTTGTTTACAGTAAGCGAATATGCATTTTTTTTTTTGGGGGGGGGTTAAAATTCACAGGTACTTGGGTCTTGGTTTATAAATATGTATGTACATTATTGATATGTAAAAAATGTTCTTTACTTTTTCTTTTTTTTTTTATTAAAAAAAACCTTTTAAAACGGTCTATGAATAGGCCGAGTATTTGATACAAAAGACTGTATTCAGAAAAAAAAACTGAAATGTATTGATTAAAGCACAAAATTTCACAGCTTTAATTGTATTTGAACAATACTTTATTTATTAATTTTCTCTCTTCATGTAAACAAGTTTATTACGAAGTACAAATTGTACTTCGGGTTCGTTGCCATGATGCTCTCTGTTACCGATAAATTTATTAGGAAAACCTACTACATATAAGTAATAGTCTTTTTTCTTTTTAACATTGGACTCGATGCTATATGATGTTCTAGAAGCTTCCGTCAATTTTAAGATCGGTGAATGACGAAAATAATTTGCAAATTTCCTTTTTAATCGATTATCACAACATATTTTCTTTTATATCATTTAAATCAAGTTTTGATTGAATATTCAGTTATGACGTTTTATGAAATAAATAAACGATTGCTTGTTGTCAGTTTCATTAAAAATTGCCAGTAAACTTAGATCCGCCAACCGGAAACGCCACCGTACTCACGTTTTTCTTATTTCATGGTTGTTCATAGAAAATGAAAGTAGACTTTTGATTTAAGGTACGATACTTACTATGGGAGTGAAATCTAAATATAGTTTACGGACATCATCTTGTATACAGTGTATTGTTAAAGGAGTAATTAAGAACTCTGGTGTACCCGTTTTGGAGTTTATTTGCAAAATTTATTAATTTATAAGTATAGATTTTTATTATCAGGGACGGAGCAGTCCTCTGTGGTGTATTTTGTGCTGTATATAACACGCTACAACAGTTGTCTATGAACGGAGAGGTGGACATTTTCTCTACGGTCCGTCAGTTACAGATAAGACGTCCAGAACTCTGCTCTTCAATGGTTATTTCACTTATATAAAAACATAATTATACTAGTATATGTTACATTTCTTAATGAATTTCATAAACTGAAAAAATATTTATAACTGCATTATAATGAATATCTGATTTACAATCACTTTTTTCGAATATGGTATCTACTTTGTTCAATGAAAAATGCTAGAACAAATGCAAAATATGTAATGGATATATGCCGAATACTGTTCTATATGTAAAATTATCAGACTGTTTGAGGCCCGTTAGGGCCGAAAACAGTCTGATAATTTTACATTTAGAATTGTATGAGGCATATATCTTACTTAAAACATTGATAAAATGTCCAAAAGTTACCTGGAGGAGTCCGATAATTACACAATAGGAGTTCAGGCATCAATAGTTTTCTACCTAAAACCAATAAACAAAAGAAAAGAAAGTTTTTTTTCTTTAGATATTAAAATCAGTGAGTGAACTCTTTTGTTTCATTCATTCAGTGGCAGTCGTTTGGCTTAGCATGAACTATGGACAGTGTCAGGTGATGAAGGATTTTTTTTATATGATTCAGAATATTTTTTTATTAAGTGCGTTTGACATTGATACAGATACAGTGTTGGATGATATCTTCAAAATGCATTTAAAGTAAAAATGCGGATTTTTATCTAAAATTTTGATTGGATGATATGACAATCATGGGTTTTAAAAGTGTGGTCATTGGCGAACAAACCTCGTTAACTGAAGAGATTCGCAGACTGGTTCTTTATCAGAAATGGATTTAAATTGGCTTTTTCACAGTGCTGTATCGAAAACGCTTTGCAAAACACTGAATGGAAAGTGTTACTTTTGAGGAAGGTTAAAACTCCAGTTTCTTCTTCGGTTTGCTATTTTTAACAACTTAATATCCTCGCGTTCCCTTTCCCTGAATTTTTTCTCCCTAACTGTTTTTTGGTTTCTGGACAAATTAAACCTTGATCTCACTCTATTTGTTGTTTTTTAACTACTGTCCGATTTTGTTATCACTGCCGTCCGATAATATATTATTGGACTGCTAATTATTATTATCAGACGGCTACAGGTAAATTTTTAGACTGCAAGAACAAAGGCATGATGTCACGGCAATGTTTTAAGTTTATATATTTTATTTCAGGACGAGTACAGGATGATTTACGATGTGGTGTTAGATTACATCCGGACACAGGAGGAAAATGTTTACTTCAACCAGTAAACGATAGTCATACAAATCTGAGAAATGCTGAATCCTTTCAATGTGAATGTATTAGATAAACAGAATTATTTCGTATTTCGCTTTTTATATTTTATAAATGTTTGTTTTTGTTGTGCTAGAATTTCAACTATGTAATGTTTAATTGCTTATTAAAAACTTGCGTTTTATTGAATTTAATAATGTAACCTTTTACACTCAAATATTACAAATATAATACAATTCTTAGTTTTCAAGCTTAAAACTCCACGGGAACTTGAGACAATCTTAGCAAAATCGGGTATATAGTGTAATAGGGGAGAAGGAACCTAACGAGTCGCCATTAATTCCTCGGTGCCTTGCTTCAAACTCTTAAAAACTTCGATTTCTATACAAAAAAAAACCCATGAAAACGTTTCTCCAGTCTAAAGGCAGAATGTTGACCTTTTTTATCGTAAATAAATCGTCCGTCTCGAGAGATCAGCTTCATTTTCACCTTCTATTAGCCTCAGAGTTCAATCGGGTCAACCATATTGAATGAAATCCGCACTGAATGACTAAAGTTTAAAGGCGAAAGACGATTGGATAATATTACTAGTTGTTTACGGAATCAAATATGGCTGACCCGATTGAACTCTGAGGCTAAACGAAGGTGAAAATGGAGACGATCTCTCGAGACAGACGATCAACGGTCCCTCGGATATTGTGAGGATGACCAAAAGCAACTATATTTTTAAACATTGCTCTAAGATAGAGTGTTACAGATGACAAGTGCGGAAAAATTAAGGTAATGCACGAAAAATGCATGGAAAAAATGGTGTAGGGTTAACGACGGCGACCTAATTCTCGGAAGTTCGAATATTTTTTTCTAAGTTTCAATGAAGTAGGGTAAATGATTTATTTATGACAAGAAAGGACAACATTCTGCCTTTCGACTGGCAAAACTTTTTCATGGGTTTTTTGTTTGTTTGTTTGTGTATTGTTTAACGTCCCTCTCGAGAATTTTTCACTCATATGGAGACGCCACCACTTGCCGGTGGAGAGCTGCAAATTTTGTCCTATACTCGGCACTTACGGCCATTGAGCAGTGAGGGGTCTTTTTCGTGCCAGCACCTACTGCGACACGGGACCTCGGTTTATACGGTCTCATCCGAAGGACCGGTCTCCACGTCCCACAGTGGGATTCGAACCCGCGACGAAAGGATCAACTCCTTACTTCGCGACTCATTGGTTTTTTGAATAGAAATCGAAGTTTTTAGAGTTTGAAGCGAGGCACCGAGGAATTAATGATGGCTCGTTAGGTCTCTTCTCCCCTTTTATACTATATACCCGATTTTGCTAAGATTGTCTCAAGTCCCTATGCTGCGTTCGGTGAAGAAATCAGATATAATAAAAAAAGAATAGAGATTTACATTAACAATGCAATAATTGTAAATGTTAAAATTATACTTCACAAAGATTGGAGGGAAAAAATGAAATAAATATTAAACTATTAAGCTATAGAAATTACTTTTGTTCAATGAAATCGAATGAATCTAAAACATTTTGTTGTAGACTAGTAAATTTGTGTTCCTGCGAGAGAATATGTTTCCATATTTTATTGTTCCTCCTACTTTTGTTTGATACTATTTTAAATAATGTTTCTTGTTTTATGACTAACAGAAGTGCCACCGAGCAAAATGTAAATGAAATTTTAAGTAAAGATATACATAATAATGTTCATTCTTTTAAATGTTCTATTCACTCCCTCCTGCAGTTTTCGGATGTATGTATTGATGAAATTTTTAATATTGAACAAGTGTTGTGTTTATATCCATTCTTTGAAAGAGCCTTTTACTTTGTCTTTTAAAATCTGTTTCAAAATTATTTTACGAAGATGGGGCAGGTAATGCCAATGTTTTACAAGTTTATGTGAAAAATCATGGTGTTCCAGACATTCCCATTGTGAATTTTAGAGGGAATCAGTTCAGTGTCATGTTTTATAATGTTGCAGGTATTTTTTTATGCACAAACTTGTATTGCAGTATTTTTATTCTTTGTAAACTTCTTACTTTTTAATCAGAATTTAATGATATTATGTTTGCAGAACAAAATTTTTTAAACTCTTTTAAGATTGCTTGGCATTTTATGCAATCATGAAAATTTTATGCAAAAATCAGCACAGAACCTTATTTTTTTAAAAAGCAACAGAAGATGGAAACATTTTATATATGGGCTCTGCATTTCAGAGACTTTTATATATTTTAGCTTTGTTTATTGAAAATCCAAATTTAGTTTTGAATAATGAAGTTCACTTTTTAAGGTCCATACTTTTATGACGAGGTTTTTGAATTTTTATTGAAAACTTCACTGAATGATAATCTTACATGTGTTTTTATAAAGCGTCTGTGTATTGTTTTAAAAAGCAAAGCTAGTAAACTCTTCAGTGAATTTTTAACTGGAGGGAAGTATTTTAATATTAGTGGGAGTGAATTACAAGAATGTCAATCATGTGATACGAATAACATCTGCCTTGAAAGACTCATTGAACAACTAAATTTTAAATAAAAGCAGCTTACACGTCATCTTTAAATACTATCGAAAGTTGTATGTTATATTCTAACAGAAGATTGGTTGAAAAAATTAAGATTTAAGTGAACAACAAGATATAATAAATCATGATCGTTCGGAAAATAGAACTTTTATGCAAAAAAAAAGAAACAAGGAGAAACAAGAAGAACTTGTCAGATAACAAAGATTTTAGAAAAAATGAAAAAGAAGCATGAAGAACGAAGGAGAAAAAATCCAGCGAGTTAGAGAGCAATAGAGGACATGAGGAAAGTTGGCCTTTGGGAGAGTGAGGATAAGATCAGGGAAGAATTGGAAAAGCTGAAGACAAAAAAAGCATTAAAAGCAAATCAGTATCTACAAAAAAGTTTTTAGAATTGAAAAAACTCCCAGAAAGAATTGGTTCAGTTTTCTTCGAAAGGAAAGGTGTTTGATTGTAATAAATTACAGGATAATCTTTTGAAATTAATAAAACTAAGAAGAAATACGTAACGAGAAAACATATCGAACACTCTACACATATACTGCCAAAAGGAAATTAAATTAGTATTTGTAGTAGTCAGGCCTGTTATTATGCTTGTATGATACATTATACATGTAAATGTATAGACGATCATGTTTCGATCTGCAGAGTCGTATTCACAATGGCACACACCTGTGTTTAATTATTATTTTTTAAAACTTTAGCTCAAGTTATATGATTCAAGTGATTGTGTGTTTTTATTTTATGTTTAACTCAGAGAACATTTAAATGCGAGATAGTTTCCATCATATTTCTAAGAGACACGAGAGCCGTTCAGTACAATTCATAGCAAAACTAACACTAATGGTTGTTTATAGAAAGTATAATAAAAAATTTATCTAAATTTTAATTTAACTGTGCGATTTTTTATATAATACATTCCATAACAAAATATAAGTCAACATCAATAAAACTGAACTGTGAACTGTTATTAATTGAAGGGACGACCATTTGATTCACGGTGGAAGGGGGGGGGGGGTGTGATTCGGTTATCATTACATACATAAAAATAGTACCAATAATTTGCATAAGAACATAAGGTAATAATTTATAACTTTAAAATATAGATATTACATCCCTCCTTTTCATAGATAAAGAGATTCATTAATTTTTATCAAAAAAATTTATTAAATCATCAGAGAACCATTTTAGACTAATAAAAAAAAAAATAATACAGCAAAATCTATTGAACTACAGAGTCACTTAGACACAAAGTCTTTCAATACACTAGGTCTTCTGACAGTACGACCGGACCTGGTGACGTAAGGGTTCGAACTGGGTACGACTTTGGTTTGACTCGCGACGCGTGTCTGTGCTTTAGGAATCCTGATTGTAGGCGTTCCTGATACGTTTGATGATGACGTATCGTTTAACGGCATTTCTGTTCTGGCCCTCTGATATACTATCCCTTCCTCCTCCGGGTATTCAGTTTCGCGCGATTGTATGTTCCTTGGACACGCAATTCTTTTGAAGAAGGATGAGTTGCGCGTAACACACTTCGTCGTCGGACTGGAACAAGGGGAGGCCGATATCATTGTTCCCTTGGTGCTCACTACGATGTGAGGTTCCGGGTTATAAGCTGGCGTCAGCTTATTTCCAGATTCGTTTTTGATAAGGACGGTATCTCCACTGTTTATCTGTTGAGTCCTGTTTCTGGTCTCTGATCTCATCTTTAGTTTGGCGTATTCATCCTGCTGCCGCGCGATTTATGGGACGATCTGTTGGTCTTGCTATATGTGGTAGTTTAGTTCTTGTATCTCGGCCAAACATCAGAGTGAATGGACTTAGTCCTGTTGATGAATGAGGAGTATTTCGATACTGCCGAAGAAAACGGAACAGTTCTTGTTTCCAGTTTTTCCTGTCAACATGAGCAGCTCGGACTGCCTTCATCATCGGCTTGTTAAAGGATTCTGCCTGAGCATTCGCCCGAGGCCAACGAGGTGTGATTTTGCGTTGATGAAATCCCATGTTTTCTGAGAATTCCTTGAATGCGGCAGAGTTAAATGGACTTCCGTTATCTGACTTTACGACCTTAGGTATTCCAAAAGAAGAAATGACCTTATCCAGGACAGGAATAGAAGCATTTGCTGAGGTTGATCGCATTATTTCGACGACTGGATATATGGTAAATTCATCAGTGATCACGAATAAGTATTTTCTGCTGGTAAGGGTCCACAAAAATGAACACTTAAGTTTTCCCAAGGACCATGTGGCATATCGGACATTTTGAATGATTCAATTCGATTAGGCCTTTCATTAACGCTCTGACAAGGTAAGCAGAATTTGAGCGAGTTCTCAACTAAATCGTCTAGTCCAGGAAACCATACTTTTGAGCGTAGCAGTGCCTTGGTGCGGCTGATTCCTTGATGTCCTTCGTGAGCAATGGTGACGGCCCGTTCACGGAGAGATTTAGGTAGGACTAAGCGACCCTCTCTAAGTAAAACATTGTCAGAATACACAGCCAATCCGTCTTGAACATTCTGTAAAGTTTGTAGTTCTAGCAAATCCACATCTTTATCCTCCAGTCGCTTAAGTTCATACCACTTTCCTGTGCGTACATAGTCAATAGCCTTTTGCATTGTCTTGTCCTCATCAGTTGCTCTTTCAACTTCATCCAAGGTCATAGCTTTAGGTACGGCTTTTTCAGCAATGAACTTCACATAGTGTTCTGCTATGTCCTCCTCTCGTGAGAGTTTTTGTGTCAAAATGTGGTGTCTTGACATATAGTCAGCAGGATTATCTTTCCCAGGACGGAAGACAATAGTCATCTTATAAGGTTGTAATCTGAGACCCTATCTTTCTATCCTGAGTGGGGGTTTAGCTCGCTTCCATATGGATTCCAACGGCTTGTGGTCTGTCACAACTCTGAAGTATGGTGCACCTCGTAAGTACATGTCTGGGCATGTGAACACTTTGACGATACCTAGGGCTTCACGTTCCGTCTGGCTGTAACGAGACTCTGTGGGGCTTAATGACCTGCTGGCGTATGCAACAACCTTGTTCTCCTGAGTGAGAATTGCACCCAAACCCACTAGGCTAGCGTCCACTATTAACTCGACAGTTTTATTTGGGTAATAGTACACTATCAAAGTATCACTTGACAAGAGTGATTTCAACCTGTCAAAAGCAGCGTCCTGTTCGGTTGTCCAAGACCATGACAAGTCTGCGCGCATCAGGCGCCTCAAAGGTTCACTTACGGTTGAGTAGTCTGGAATAAATATGAAGTGATGCCAAGGAAACTTCGGAGTTTACTGATGTTGGACGGTTTCTGTGCTTCGCGTATGGCAGATACCTTTGCAGGGTCAGGCGATATTCCGGACTTGTTGAACACCAAGCCAAAGAATGTGATGTGGTCACGGTTAAACTCACATTTCGATCGATTTTATTTTAAACCACTGGCACTTAGTGATTTTAGAGTGTCCTCGAGAGCTTTATCATGCTCCTCTTGGTTTTTACCGAATACCAAAATATCGTCCGAAATATTCCTAGCACCTGACACAGTCTGTATCACACTACGCACAGTCTCCTGAAATATCTCAGATGCGGACGAAATACCAAAGTTCAAACGTTTATACCTGAAGATTCCTACGTGAGTATTGAATGTAGTGATGGAACGACTCGCGTGGTCTTACTCGAGCTGATGGTACCCTTGTTTAAGATCAAGCTTGCTAAATACAGATGCGCCATTCAAATCATGGATGAGTTCATCTACGGTAGGCATTAAATGTAGTTCACGGATGATCGCTTTGTTTGCCTCTCTCATGTATACACAAACACGAATCTCATCAGGATTTTTCTTGGGGACGCAGACAATAGGTGACACCCATGGTGTTGGTTCGTTTTCTACGCGTTCTATGATGTCATCATCTAGCAACTTTTAAAGCTCCGCTTCAGCTTTCGGACGCAGATGAAACGGTATACGTCTGCTGCGCTGCGCAACTGGCTTCACCGAAGTATCTGTATGAATGTGGACTGTTTTGTTGACAAGTTTACCAATTCCCTGGAACACGTCTTGGTGTTTCCGAGTTACATCAGTATGAGACAGCTGGTTCACAATATGTACAAGTTCTAGAGAACGGCACGTAGAATAACCTAACAACTCTCCATTGCTCCCACGGACAACATAGAATTTGTGTTGTTGCGTGATGTTTTTCCACTGAACATCAAGTAAACATGAGCCAATCACATCCAACGGTGCATTTCCTCCATACGGCATAAGCTTGGAACCGTTTTTTTCGAGTCTGGGTTGTCCCAACTTTAGGTAAGTTGCTTCGTCCAAGATATTCACTGACGCTCCGGTATCAAGGAGAAAATCGCAGTAAGTTCCGTTGACCTTGAAACACTGTTTTGGGCCTTCGCTACAATTAATAGTATACAAATATTCTTCATCAGTTGAGGACATATTTTCCACATCCAACTCTCGCACAACTCGCGTTTTGTGTTTCTTTGGATAGCTTCCCTTGGCACCATTACTTTTCTTTGATCGGCATGCTTTCTCAAAGTGATTAAGTTTCTTACAATTAATTGCGGCACTGTTTGCCTTTAGCGGGGCATTCTGCTGTGTGCGGATACGGTCCCCCGCAGTTCCTACACGAAATTCACAGCACGCTCACTCTGTTCTTCCATTGTTTGCGCCTGTGTTTCAGCTACTTCCATCGCTCGGCCTAAATCCATTAAATTCTGCAGAGTCACATCGGGCTCACGTAATGCTCTCCTCCGCAGGCGGTCTGAGCGACAGTGTTGAATGATTTGGGATAAGATTTCTTTGTTTACATCATTAAATTCACAGTCTTTTGACAATCTACGAAGTTCAGTTACATACTCATCAAGTGTTTGAGTGCCCGATTGCTTACAGTTTCTAAACTTGTACACAGCCATTTGTATGTTTTTCCGCGGAGAAAAATATGTAGACAGTACCTGTTTCGTTCCTACGTATGTAGTTGGCGAATCTTCCTTTTTCGGCGTTGTAGATGTCGAAGACACGTTCTCCAGCGTAGTGTAATAAAAGCGCTCTTTTCCGGTCAGTATCGTCAATGTTCATTCCAATGAATAATAGTTCCAATCGCTCAATCTACTTCTCCCACTTTGGTCCTGCATCAGCCTTGTCTGCATACTCAAATGGAAGAAATTCTGGTAATCGGTCCATTACCGATTGTAAACAGTATTTTCCTCGTCGCCAGATATGTTATCCTTGTTTTAAAGGATATTGAAATGAAAACACGTGTTGTGTGTTTTTCACTGTTTAATGGAGACTGCATGGTCATCAGTAGTCAGATATTAATACACTCAAGCATCACATGGTAAAAGTGCGGGAAAATAGAGAGTGATTCGGTTATCATTACATACATAAAAATAGTACCAATAATTTGCATAAGAACATAATGTAATAATTTATAACTTTAAAATATAGATATTACAGGGGGAGCTAGCTAATTTTGTCGAGTCACATCATTCACTTTAATGCCGTTTCCGGAATGCTCAGAGACAGATATTTTCCTTAGTGTAAGTGACTGGTATAGGTACCGCCAGTCAAGGTCTGATAATTCATTTTCTTCCCAAATGCAGAGAGAATATTTATTTGTCTTATTTTAAAGGACAGTTTATTCCAAAAACCTGCAAGCTACAGCCGTCCCCTTTTTTGAGGAATGTTTGTCCATGTAACAAGTTTTACGTGTACGAGTTGATATCTATAATACTCCTCTATTATTAAAGCGATCATAAAACAAGTTAATTGGTGAGAATACAATGATGTGATAGAAAGAATATAGAAAAATAAGCACTCAAGCTTTTTCTCATAATTTAATTAATTCGATTATATTAGTCATCATTAATTGCATTCTGAAGGCGGCCTTTGGCATACTTTGTCTGATGGTCGATAGTAAAAGCTCTACATGCTTCTGCTAGCGTCGGAATGCAATGTTCTACACTACGTCAGAAAGCCATCAAATGAATTAGGTTATATATTTTTCTCGTCTAATATTTCTTGAAATGATTTTTAAAGATTGCCCTTTTATGACTTTTCGTTATTATTAATTGAAATTCTGGTGTATTTACCGCAGACACTTTGTCTGGGTTCGAGTCAACGAAAAGAAGAATTCAGAATCCGATTTTATACAACTCAAGAACAATGACGCTAAAATGTAAATGCTGTGCGAAAAAGAAAAGAAAAGAAGAGAATAAGACAAAATTAAAATAGCAAGCCATAAAATAAATATTTATTACTTCCGTTAACTCACACGCACTCTTACTCACAAGTTCGTTAATATACCCCCTCCCATCTTCCTTGCGATGGGATAAAAACATGGCGGGATCAGTTCAAGTATTGTATTTACAATCAAAAACAAGGTAAATTGTCCCGAGGGGGTAAAGGTTAGGGTTCAAACGTTTTCGTCAAGAAAATGTCTATAAATCAGCCCTGAAACTACGTGCTTGAACGTTACATGTGTAATTAATTGAGATTATATATACATGCAGGCAAATTGTACGAAAAAGAAAAAAAAAAAATCTCGAACGGTTGGGCTCACCTGTGCTAGACCCGCTTTTGACATTTAATCAATTTTTAATATACAATAATGACAAATCGAAGTTAAGCTAGAAACGTGTAGATATTAACTTCTGTTGGACAACTCGTCTTGAAATAAATACAGCTTTTTTTTTTCTTTTCATGGCCTTTCAGAAGGAACATACAACAATTGTTTGTTTGTATGTTGTTTAACGTCCCTCTCGAGAATTTTTCACTCATATGGAGACGCCACCACTTGCCGGTGGAGAACTGCAAATTTTGTCCTTTCTCGGCACTTACGGTCATTGAGCAGTGAGGGATCTTTTTCGTGCCAGCACCTACTGCGACACGGGACCTCGGTTTATACGGTCTCATCCGAAGGACCGGTCTCCACGTCCCACAGTGGGATTCGAACCCGCGACGTAAGGATCACCTCCTTGCTTCGCGACTCTAGAGCAGACGCTCTAACCACTGCGCCACGCGGGCGACCAATTTGTAAAAACAATTTTACGATTTTTTAAGTAGGTAGATCAACTGACTTTGAATAATCATAAATACCTTAAGGCACACCTCCATATTTGTGGTTAAAAAATGTGATCGA